CTGGAAGAGTGCAATGTCCGCCACCTAGTATTGAGATCGAGAACCACGAGGAATACGAGGTTGAAAAGGTACTGGATTCAGGACAAAGGTGGGGCAAGTTGGAGTATCTTGTTCATTGGTGCAGCTACGATATTAATGAGCGAACGTGGAAGCTAGCTGAAAATCTCGCCAATGTGCCACAAAAGGTACAGGAGTTTCATCAACAACATCCTCATAAACCTAAGCCGGTTCGACGATAGCTTCTTTTTGAAGCTTTCTCACCCAAGAATATAAGAAAGGGGGAGAGCACGACCAAAATTCGTAGTTGATGTAGTTATTTTTTCCAAGATAAAATAGAATTTTTTCAGTAGTCATAGTTTGGTCTTCTGATATGGATAGCCAAGAGATAGATACTATGCCAGTCAGATTATCTCAACTAACTAGCTCATGAAGGCGACCCCAAGATGAAGAACCACCTGCACCACAACGACGACGGAGGATACTAAGTAACCGATCACTGGTGATTGTATTTGATTCTGAGCCTGCTTACGATGGTCAACCAGAAGGCATATTTAGAGGACAATTTCACAATGAAGACACGGAAGTTCATGCTTGGTCAGAAATTGAAGGAGTGGGCCACTACCGTTGGCTTCAAGGGCCGATGAACCACTTACCTCGTGAACAACAGTTGGAGTTCATAGCAGACGTTATGTGACAAATCTTCATTTTCTTGCATTGGTACTGATTGACAACAACATTGCTTCTCAGAGACCTCGAAGCTAAAGGAGGGGGTGATGTTAGGGACATAGTCCTTAGAACCTTCTAGAGACAAGTTTCTAGAACCTTCTAGAGACAAGCTTCTAGAACCTTCTAGAAGCAAGTCTCTGGAACCTTCTAGAAGCTTCTTAGTTGGTAGAAGATGTTAGGGACATAGTCCTTAGAACCTTCTAGAGAAAAGTTTCTAGAACCTTCTAGAAGCAAGTCTCTGGAACCTTCTAGAAGCTTCCTTCTTAATAGAAGTTGCTTGAGAAGCATCCTTAATAGGAGTATATATTGGATTCAAGGCTGAAGAGTTCTTCAGTCTCGACAACACATCTCTTGGAGCTCTAGCTCACCTCTCTGGTGTTGTTCTTGTATTCATCTGATTAATCTAGTTCTTACCAATTTTTTTTGAACTTCTTATTAGATCTCAAGTCTATATTTCTATATCCGTGACACCATCTTAGTTGTTTCCCTTTTGTGTCATGTGCTTCCAAAGGTAAATCTTATGATTGCATATAAAGTCTTCTTATCCTAGTACATATTTTTTTTTTAACATGAAAAATTAGCTCATTTAATCAAGCAATTTTATAAGACAAATTTAACTACATATTCTTTGTGTAGCCCTCCTCAAACATTGTTTATTTCACCAATGAACACAAGGTGTCATGGACATACCCATATAAACTAGTAATTACATGTATAAATGGGTAGAAGTAAGTAAAAGTAGATAAAAGTAAGTTAATTCTATAATATTTGCTATGAAGCTTCTTAGAAGCTTCATAGACTCTGCTTTGACTTTATAGGTATCTTTAATTGACTTTTTGGATTAGAAACGTGGTCAACAAGTTGGCCATGTATCACACATGTTGTTAGTTTGAAGACCAAGCTATCTATGTGGCCCACACGTAGAAAAACTTGCCTTGTAAGTCAAGGCATGTGTCCTACAAAGTCAATTTATATTGGAGGTCCTATAGAACATCACCATGTAGCCCTTAGTTAGATAGTATATATAGAGACAAGAGTAAAGCCTTCTTCACTATTGTCAACTCCTTTCTTACTTCCAGTCTAGTTTCAAGGGTCTCTAGTTTTCTTCACTTTTGGCAATAGCCATTCCAGTTTCTTTCTTAATATCCATATCAAGTTATTTCTATTTTGTCATCTTTCTTTGAGAGAAGTTTCACTTGTTTATTTGTTTATATCATGTTCTTGTCATTGATGCAAGGTGTATGTTATGTTGAAGCTTAGGACTTACAATAAAGAAGTGAACATCTTGTATCTATAAAATTTAGAATATCAAATTCAATTAATGCATCTTATTGAAGTAGAAGTTAGATTATTTCAATCACCATTTGTAATGGTGTTAAAAGCAATACATATAAAATATTATATCTTATACTTTAAATGTAGAAAACATAACAATAAAATATGTAATTTCCTTTCAACCTTCAAAATTTATAAATCTTATGTCATACTTAATAACTTTTATTACACCTAATAACTACTCAAAAATATTTTTTTTAAAGTTTATTCAATGAAGATTAGAATAACAATTATATATATATATATATATATATATATATATATATATATTTGATGTTAAAAAAAATCATGAATGTGTTACTATTACAAAATATTACAAGCATTGCTTTTACAAAAAATACATTGATAAGTAATAATTCTATTAAAAATTAATGAACTTACTAAAATAAAAATCATTATGAACTTAAAACATGAAAGAATTGGAAACTAACTTGTTAGTTGAATATGTCAATAAATCAAGTTTATTTTTAAAATACCATATACGAATTAAATAAAATATATATCTTGATTAATATTCAAAATGTCTCACAAAATAAAGATATACACAAATAAGTATTTTAGAATATACCAAGCTAAGGGTTTTGTTACAAGAATTGCTAAATATAAAATAATTAAAATTAATAATTTCTAGGTAATAATCAATACATTTTGTACAAAATTGTATGCAAAGAGACATTGAAATAGATTGCATTTTATTTCAAACATTTTACTATTCTTTTTATGAGCAATATACTCATACAAACTGTTAATCTATTATATTCTTTAATTAAATTCCACCAATATAGTATGTAATAATTTTTAATTTTTAAGAAAATAAAATTATTACTAATAAACTACCCAAAATATATATTTAAAATGCTTACCACTTATTTTGACTTGTTTTTGAGGCTTTCTTCATTCGATCTGATAATAAACATGGCTTTAAATTAATCAAAGATTAAAACTTAATAAAAATAAAAATGTCATTTACAGGTTTGTCATAAAATATTAAATAAGTAAATGTGTAAATCTGAAACTGCCCAAAAAGAAATAAATCTTTGATTTCCTATGCCTATATCTAAGCTGTTGTTTTTAGTCTATTCAAATATGGAAAATACTACCAAATAAATTGCAATTCAGACAACGTACAAAGACACTGTTTATGCAGAATTGAGCATTAAAAAACACTATCAAATAATATACATCTGCGAACAACCACCCTTCAATCATAAATAAAATCTTTGGCGTACATTAAAATCTTCGTGATTCAATGGTACAACTTTGATGTACAGTGGGGTACAGAAATAATTCGAATTTTTTTCTAGAGCACCACTTTTGCTAAAAAAATCTTGTTGTTCAATTGAATGTTGTGATCATGTTGGAAGGAATTTTTCCCCGACACTTGGCCATCTATTTTTGGAGTGCAAGAAGTGTCTAATTGCATGTAATTAGCCATGTGTCTTCAAAAGCAGATTGCAAATGTGATGATTAATGTGGAAGTGGTTAGGTGAGCTAAAAAATCACAGTTGCAATTAGGCATGCATGCAGCCAGCAAAATGGAGTGATAGCATAGAATGCTTGGATGGGGTGACTTATATAATCCATCTGAAGATGTGAAGCACATTGCACTGCCACAGATTGAGATTGTGAAGCACATATAGATTTTAGAAGTGTTCTTTTTTGGTTTTGGACATCGTTAGCTTCAGTGACTCCTCTCCTTCAAACTAGAAGTTGGTTTGTGCTATTTGAAGGCTTACAGCAAGCACCATGAAGTACAGAACATTGTCCCCTATGCAGAAGAATCAGATTGTGGGGATGAGGAAGGCTGGGATGAAGTGTAAGGACATTGCAGAAGTCTTCAGTGCTCCCTATTCCACCATTTCAACTATCTTGAGTCATTGGAAGGTCCATGGAAGTGTGGAGTCGTTGAAATCACAATGTGGCAGACCCAGGAAGTTGTCTGAGCGGGATTTTCGGGTGTTATGTCATGCTGTCAGTTCAAATAGAAGGCATACTCTAGTAGAACTTGCAAACTTGGTGAGTGTTTCCCGGACTACTGTTCGATTCTACCTCCGTGAGCTTGGTTTTAGAAATTGTATAGCACCTAAAAAGCCATATTTGAATGTCAAACATAAAGCAGATAGGCTTGCATTTGCACGTGCTTATGAGAGTTGGACGTTTGAAGATTGGTGTAATATTATTTGGACGGATGAGTCGTCATTCGAAACTGGCAAAAATCCACGGCAAATTAGAGTGTGGCGGAAGGCGTACGAAAAATATAATTGGGATTGTATAGCACCAAGTTTTAAGTCTGGACGTAGTTCAGTGATGGTTTGGGGTGCCTTTACTGGCTTTGATAAGTCTCCATTGATCATCATTCCTTTAGATAAGAGATCAGCAAGGGATTTTGTCACTATTGTTTATGAAGGAGTATTAAGTGGCTTTTATTTCTTACATGATGACCCTGAGGAATTGATATTGATGGAGGATGGCGCTCCAGTCCACCGTAGCTCATTGCCACTACAATGGAGACGTGCTCATGGTATAGAAAAGTTGTTTTGGCCTGCCAATTCACCAGACTTGAATCCAATAGAGAACGTTTGGATGGTTGTAAAAGATTTGCTCAAACATCATAGTAGACCTAATAGTAAGCTAGAAATGATTGAAAAAATTCAATCCGTATGAGATACCATATCTATAAAGTGGCTTCGTACATTGATTTCCACTATGCATTATAGGATGCAAGCAAGCGGTGATTGCAGCTGGGGGTGGTAGTACGAGATGGTAGATAGTATGTAACAAAAAGCTCTCTTGATGTATATTTTCACAACTTTATAATGCAAACTTGTTACACCATGAAACTAGATTCTACTATCTTCGCAATGCATTTTACTGCTCAAAAATGCGTTCGTTTTTGACACTGCTGGAGCTTTTTGAAGTTCAGTGATTTCTAACACTGATTCACTTTGAAAAAAAATTCGAATTATTTCTGTACCCCACTGTACAATTGCGACCTCGACCATTCATTCTGATCGTTACCTTCAATGCATCATAGGCCTACATGTGGGAACACGGCGTATCACCGTTCTTCCAAAAATAGCTGAATCTCAATGTTGGACAATGGCTTCTCAATGTTCTCCAAATCCACTGAAAAACAGTACGCTGAGTCGACCTAATTAGGACAAGCACAGCGTTAAATCTTGTACAAGAATGGTGTTCAATAATAATAATAATAATAAATGAATAAATAATAAGTAATTAAAGTACTAATTCAAAACGTTTCCATTTCCAGCACACGTAACATTTCGATAATTAGAACCACAAACAAGTTAGGAAAAATTGTACACATGTATTACAGTACATTGCAGTAAATGCCAACACCCAGAAGTCAATATAATCCTTTGAAATTTTCCACGTGGAAATTAACGTGGGTTTAAACACTGTTTTCAACAGCACAATGCTCGCTTAATAACTGATAATCTGGTAACATCGTACGGGAAGGCAGGATTTGACAAGACCTATCCAAAAGAAATTAATAATCAGAAACTCGCTCACTCTTTCTTACAGGTCGACTGACGGATAAAAAGAACCGGTACAACCCGGCACTGATGCACTGTCAAGTTGCGAAATCATCTCTCTTGAATGACGTCCGAGGAAATATCTCCATCCTCTACCGGTATACTCAATATGGAACGTTGAGCACTTAACAATCGCCTGCATATTCATTCAAAATATATATATATATATATATATATATATAGATAATTTACTCCCTGCGCAAAGAGTTCAAGGATATAACCTTAACTTATAGTCAACAAAAGCAGCAACCGTTACAGTCTTTCCTAATAAATTAAAGACCCTTGGAAACAAATTCTCAGCTTACCAAGGCGAATCCCTCCAACAATGATGGCGTTATTGATAAAAACACTCAACACACCAGAAAATCTCGTACTCAGAATACTTAGCCTTGCTACGCTGCACCAGTTTGAAAGAGCTGCAAATAGACTTCCCTCATTTTCACATGTTTATTAGCTTGTTCAAGTACAAGAAAAAACGTCCACATTACTTATCAGTTGTCCATACAGTAAAAGTCTCAACTAAACTACAAAGTCGATGACGTGATAATTCCAAACTATGTCAAGAATACATTTCCAATCCTGCCTGTCAAAAAGGACATGGTACAATATAAGAAATGTCAAAACATGATGACATAGTCTTGACAGACAGCCACATCCTGAGATGTTTGAAGTACCCAGACAACGGTTCGTACAGCACATTGTCCCAAGCACGAGCTGCAAACCCACAGTAATTGGTCCAAGTCAAACTCCTGAAGAACAGTCCAGTGCCCCACGAATCTATGATTAAGACGCAATAAAAACTACTTCACAGAAGAGCTAGAGAAGAACAATTTACTGAAAACCAAAAAGATTCAACCTACGATACTAAGGCGATCATAGACATCAACCAATCGAAAACTAAAGACGCTAACCAGATCGACAACTAGCCTTGTACTGGATAGAGACTTGCTGGTAAGAACCGACATAGTGACTTGTTATCCAAACAACCTGAAAAGCTTCGAGTTTCGGCTCTTGGTTCTCCAAATAGCGCTTAGCTTCTAGCTCCAAGCCTGATTTTAGCAACTCACAATACTGAGTACTTTCCAGGTTGAGCTGGCCCTGGGAGTTGAATAGCCGCTGAGGTTGATTCCTCAAGAATGCGTTTCACTTCCGCCTTGGCTTTCTTAACAGAGGCCTCAGTAGGGCCCTCAATAAACAAGAATAGCTTGCGTTCTCCAGGCGCCGGGACCTTTCCAGGAGGAAAATACTGACCTCGAGTGGTAATTGCTGCTCCAGTCCATTCACTGATCTGTCCCAAAGCATCCTTATGCGTAACTTTCCAGCGAGCATGCTGAGGAAAGTCATTGATCTCGAGCTCGATCTCATAACTCTCGGGAGCCACGTCTGCTTGTATCTTTGCCAGATTATTTTGAAGGTTGTACGCAGCGGCCATGGCAGCTGCTCGTGCAGCTGGATTCCCGTCGGTCAATCCTGCTGTAGCAGATGCGCCAGCAGCCATCCCCAACATTGGAGAACCAAGATGACCCATGGCACCTGCCATATTGGCCAGCGCCATCTGATTGGCAATTTGCTGCAGATTCGAGACTTGGCCCATGTTGGGCATGCTCATTGAAGCCATAATTTGTGCCATATTTGGCATCACTGGCATGCCAGGCATATTCATCACTCCAAGTCCTGGCACTCCCACACTAGGGAAGGGCATTGCAGGCAGACCAGCTGCTCCCGCTGCCGCTGCTGCAGCAGCTGCTTGATTGGCTACGGCAGCTTGAGCCATATTTGCTAAAGCTGCTTGTAACTGTGGGTTGGCAGCTAATGCCGGATTCATTGGTGCGGGTAGACCAGCTTTCGCAGCTGCGGCTAGGGCTGCTGCGTGCATGTTGGCCACCGATGACATTTCTCCACCTGCTTTACGAATGCCTTCATCATCAGATTCTGAATCTGACTTGTCCTCCTCTTCTTCAAAACCATATTCTCTGGCTTGAGCCTTTTTGGCTGCCTTTAAAGCCTCATCTTCCTCTTCATTAAACTTAAACCCACTGCCTCCGTATCCACTGCCATGAGCTTGCTCGCTACCCTGCTTAACTTTCACCATAAAATCATCTGCTAGTTTCTTTAAATCCTCAGGAATAGGCTGCTCTGAAAGCTCTAATGCCTTTACAAGGTCTGGGGCATACCTCTCCTCTTCAGTAGATATGAAAGTCACAGCGAACCCTTTCCGTCCAGCACGACCTGTGCGACCCACACGATGCACGTAATCCTCGTAGTGATTAGGGACATCATAATTTACCACCAGCTCAAGCTCCTTCACGTCCAAACCCCTCGCAGCAATACTTGTCGCTATCATTAAGTTACAAACACTTGTCTTAAAGTCTGTGATAGTGGACTCCCTGTCCGTTTGGTCCTTAGCACCATGTAATGACAGGCATGGGTAACCAGCCTTTAACAAATCCTTGAACAAGCTGTCACACTTCTCTTGAGAATGTACAAAAACAAGGATTTTTCCTTTCTCGTACCACTCTCCAAGAAGCTCAAGCAATCGTAAAAATCTTTCACTCTCTGGGCGAACTTCCACAGTCTGCGTGATGTCACTGTTAACAACGCTTCGTCCACCGATTTGAATTTCCACAGGTTTCGTTAAAACCTTGCGAGCAAGAACTTCGACCTGCCTGAAAATATTCAGAATGCAAAGCAATGTATCAGTATTAAATTCAATCATTGAAACAACCTTAACAAGCAAACTAGACTCCGATTCACCAATACAAGAAAACATAAACCAAGTAATCTAGGAAACACAACTCACCTAGGAAAAGTAGCTGAAAAGAGCACTGTTTGCCTATCTGGTCTAGTATTTTGGACAATGCGAGTTATCTGAGGTTCAAAACCCATGTCGAACATCCGATCTGCTTCATCCATCACAAGATAAGTCACACGTCGCAAATTTGTGATTTTCCCAGAACTCGTGCAAAGAATATCAATCATTCGACCAGGTGTGCACACCACAATCTCTGTTCCTCTTTTAAGGTCGCTAATCTGTTGCGCTACACCTGAACCGCCATATACTGGCACGCATGTCAACCCCACGACCTTTGAGAACTTCCTAATGTCGTTGTATATTTGTTGCACAAGCTCTCTTGTTGGAGCCATGATCAATCCTATCGGCCCATCCCCTTGTTGAAGGGGTGGCTGATCCATAATGTGCCGGAGCATGGGCAACACGAAAGCCAACGTTTTACCAGAACCGGTCTTTGCAATCCCAATGCAATCTCTTCCACTCATAATAATTGGAAGTGCCTGCGTTTGAATGGGCATTGGCTTTTCGAAACCTGATTTCTTAATTACATCCAAGACCTTGCTGTTCAAACCTGTCTGGTTCCACGTCTTCAGTGGACGAGGTACATCCTTTCCTCTAATCTTTAATTCCAACTCTTTCCTATATGCTTCAGCTTCCGCTTTAGTCATACGGGATATTTCCTTGACCTCGATGTAGAAATTTTTACGGAAGGAAGGATACTGGATCTTTGAATGGTCCACAATAGCCAATTTCTCTGCTTTGGTCTTTTTAACCCTCTTCAAAAACTCGTCGTCATCTTCATCACCTTCCTTTCCTGGAAGCAAACACCGAGATGTACACGGGAAAAGGTTAAAAGAAGAAGAAAAAAGAAAAAACGGAATTATAGAGAATTCCAAACACAGAGACATGGTAACAAAACACAACAAACAAAAAATAGAACTAGAATGATATGCCTATCATATTACCTTCTCCATCATCTTCATCCTCGGAGGCAGAATCGTCACCGGGCATGATTCGGCCGAGAGTGTTCCTATTATTTCGCTTAACAGGTTTAACATTATCCTGACCTTTTCCAGAACCCGACTTCGCAACTATTGGTTTGGATTCCGGAGCATCCAATTCCACAGCATCGGTACTACTCACCTGCAAATTCCAACAAACTAGAATCGTCAGTCACAAAGCCATGGCAATTCGCCCCTGGAAAATTGAACTCACATCCCTATGCTTTTAATTCCAGTTTAGTGCACAGATTTGTATCCGTCAATGTGACAATAAAAACTTCACAAGTCGAAATTCGTAAATGTAAAGATACACAAAACGAATGGACATCATAACTTCAACAGAAAACTGGTTAACATCTGTGAAACGGCTATAAAGTTTTATCTCACCTCTGGGATGGTGATCGAGTTCATGAATGCATCAAGTGGATCGATCTCTTCCTCCTCCTCCACTTCCTGCTTAACCTTGACAGTTTGGATTGGTGCTGCAATCTCCTCCTCGCTATCTTCCCGCTTCGGTTTCAACTTAACGAATTTGGCTGCAGGGTCCCCACTTCCATTACCACCGAAATCAGCCATAACTAAGTCTCCATTGTCGAAGGCAGCTACTCTAGAAGCTGTTGTGCCCCCAGACTTCGGCAAAACTGCATCCTCCTCATCATCAGAATCTTCACCTTCCAAAGTCCAAGTCTTCTTCGCGTTCTTAGGCGAAGATACAACGTCCGCATCGGCCTGCACCGATTCTCGCTTCTGTCGGTCCTCTTCATCTTTCCGCCGACGCAATTCTTGCCACTCCTGCACTCTTCGCCGTCTCTTATCAATCTCTTCATCGAGTCTCTTCTGCTCCTCTTCAGGGTCCTCATCGTTTTCAGGATCTTTTTTCACTTTCAAATCATCTCGTGCTGCGTCCTCTTCCTTCCTTCTCCTCTTTCTATCCCGATCCCTATCTCCTTCACCACTTCTTAGGTCACGTTCTCGATCCCTATCCTTGTCTCTGGTTCTCTCTCTGTGTTTGTCCCTTCCCTTTTCCCTATCCTTCTCCTTTTCTTTATCCTTATCTCTGTCTCTCGATTTTTCTCGTTCACGCTCTCTTTCTCTCGATTTCTCCCTCTCTTCTTCTCTATCTCGTTCCTTCTCTCTCTCCCGCAACCTCTCCTTCTCACGCTCACGCTCACGCTCCTCTTTCTCCCTGATTTCTTCCCTCTCCCTGCTCTCATCCTCATCCTTCTTCCTTCGTTTCCGATCCCGCTCCTCCTCAGCCTCCCTCTCACGCTCGCGCTCTCTATCCCTCTCCTTTTTACCCTCCCTATCTCTCTCTCCCCCCTTTCGGTCGCGCTCCTTTTCCTTGTCCTTGACCTCCACTCCATCATCATCACGCCTACTTCGCTTCCTCTCGTCTCGCTCCTTCTCCAAATCCCTATCTCCTCGCTTCTCCCGCTCCCGGTGCTTACGCTCCTTGTCTCTCTCTCGCTCCCAATGCTCCTTGTCTCCATAATCCTTCTCACGATCCCGGTACTTATCTCTCCCCATCTTCGCCTCTCTCTGTTACTCCACCCCCGTTCAAATACGTTGTCGCCGATTACTCCTGAATACTAAGTGAACGCGACAATGGAAAAAAATTGAGATAATTCCCGGCCCTCTCTACCGCATGAACGGGATGACATTCGCTTAAACCCTAAAAAATGAACGACAAACGACAAAGCGGAGGAGGAGTGTCTGGGAACACGCTGAAGCCGCTGTGAGTCGCACACACAGAGCCAGCCCTTTGGTAGGAAAGGAACACGATGACTGCGTAAGTGCGACAAAAGCCGACGGCGCAGTCAGAGTCAGATTGTCTATCGCCGTCGTTTCATCGTTGCCGTCGCCGTCGCCGTCGCCGTTTCCCAATGGATGTCTACATCCATCCAACTACGAATAGTTGCATCACCAAAACGGCCTTAGAGTGGCCACGTCGGATTACGACCATTTCTATGAAGTATTGCTTTGATAGTTTCAATTCCCTTGTATCGAAGTAATTTTATTGGGTATTTAAAAATTAAATTAAAAATAATCTTTTCTCCTTTATGTTTTTTTACCTAATTCAATTGTTTACCATTTATTTATCTTATTCTTTAACAATATTTCTACTTGCACAATTTTAAATATAATTTTGATTTTTTTTTAGCTTTAATATTATTCACAAAGTTTTCTTATTTTGTATTGAATAACATCCCATAGACTCATTTGCAATCTCACCATTTTCTTTAGAATAGAGAAGACAATAATAAATGATCTTTGCAATGCAAAGATACAATATTGATTTGTGGAGTAGTAACTTTGGCAAGATTGTTGTCTAATTATTTTCTAATTCATGTTTGGTATATATTAGTATAATATTTAGGTTCTTTCAAAAAAAAAATACTAAACTTTACACAATAAAAAAATATCCATTGAAGAATATCTATATAAAAATGTACATGTGTACATGTATATAATTAAAAGAATAAGATATTGTGACATTTTAATTACAAATAATATTAAGGTGAAGACATTACACACTTGGCTTTTTATTAAATGATATTTTAATGATTTATAGAACAAGAAAACTTATTTCCATTTATTTCCCTCCTAAATATCATTATTGCAAATAAAATATAAGTTGTGATAATTTTCACAACAACAATTGCATTTTCACCTTGTATTATTTTTTGAATAGAAACCAAGTATCCATAACTAGCTAAACATGAAAAATAATTTAAATACATTAAATATTTTAGTTTTATCCACGTTTTGCAAACATATCATTTTTCAATCAAACCATGATCACAAAATAATAAATAACATGTGATTAACAATAATCAATTTGCACATATAGTAAAGCACATTTAATGCTTATGGAAAGTAGTAGGGGCTAGAAAATTGAATTGGTTTACTAAAGCAATAGATTGGAAAACAACAAAAAATTTAAAGTCGAATCAAAAATCAATTTAATGAAGCATAAAATCAAGGAACGACAAATTTGAAGTGGGGGTTGAAGAGCAACAAGAGTTTTGAGATTTACAGAACATTAATGCCACAAGAATTAAAAAGTTGCAAAAGTTTGAAGATTAGAAACAAATAAAATTCATAAAAGAAGGTAGTTGTATATAAGTAAGTTTTTAGAAAGAATGAAAAATAATAAAAGAGGTTGAAAAACAAAAGAAGCAAAAAATGTCCTATCAATCTTAATGAAGGAATTTATTAAGGAAGAAAATCGACAAAAAAATAGTAAAAAGCTTCCTACTAATCCAAGTTGTGGAAGTCTGTGCTATTAGTCATTTCTTTGCTATATTTGTTGCCTTACACCTTCAAATCATTTGTTAAATGAAATGTGATTAGGAGAAAACTCAGTCTCTAGGAGCACATTTAAGTATTTATGTTTCAAGTTCTGTAGACCTCAACTAATTTCATCCTTTTATAGAAACTAAAACGGCCAATGAAGAAAAAGGCAATCCATCGTAAAAATGAGTGTGAAGCAGATAGTTGAATTGCTACACCGTTTCAGGTCCAAAATGAAGCAAAAAACCAATCTATGTTGCACTCCACAGGACAAAAACGCAGAAAAGGTCGCAATTCGGGTTCAAATATACATCCAAACCTCTTCACATGCGTACCAAGACAACTGATCTGTGGTCTAACGTGAATGTTGCCAGAAGACTTTAACCATGACCACGCCACCTGCCAAAAGATCTTTTCACATCGTGTCGTTTTCAAAATCTACAATGTCTACGAAGACATAGTTGGGCTCCAAACTGTAGCAAGCCGATACTCCAAGGGCTGATATATCATCCACCTTTGAGAACACCTTTTCATTGATACTTTCGTACATGGCATCATGTGACAATGGCTATAAGGTCGACTACATCAGAAGGAATTCAAGTTTTAATAATGACAATACAACTCCGTGCAGACGTTTAGCCGAAGAGTACGTGGGTGCCTGATCTTTAAGAATGTTACAAACTTGGGAGAAGAGAAAAAAAGAATGCAAGTTTGCAGTTAGATCTGGAAATACGGTTCCTTTAATGTGCATTCCAGTGGATCCAGATCTACTGTACAGTCCAAAAAATCCCTAATCAGAGTCGCTGTCTACGCTGCCCATGGCTTTCAGACCCCTCGGCCTCTGCAAGTATGCAACATACTTAGAAAATCAGAGAATATTCACAACCTAGTACCAGCCATGCTCAAGACGTTTGATCCTAAGGCAAAAAATCAGAAAATGAAAAATAAAACAAAACAAAAACAAAAACAAAAACTAACACCAAAATCAGATGCAAAGATTCCAACATCACCTTCTTGATGCATTTCTTTTCTCGTACTTCATACCGCTCCCTCGTTAAGTCACATAGCCAGCTCCCAGGACTCATAACCTTTTCAACACACAAAAACGCATCGAAAATAACTGTGTCAAAACGACGGTTGCAGATTTTCTGAGGACATTCTCCCAGGCAGATTGCAACGTAAGGAAATACAAAAAAATGAAAAGCAGAATCATCCTTCAACCTCTTTACCTGAAGAGTCCTCTCCACATGCTTCAACCTCTTTTTGGGTCTAATTGGGAGCTTGCATCCCTTGATCGCAAAAAAATCGTCCTCCTTTTCTTTCCGAGTCAAAGATATAATAAATTTCGGCCACTGGAAGAGCTCCATGTCAACTTTCCCAGAGGGTGCGATTTTTTCCAGGTGACTGTTCGCATCAGGTCTTGTACTGACAGTTGGGAGAGCTGCAGTATGAGCGTGGACGCTAGATGTCTTATCAGGATTAGCAAGTGGAGGTTGCGAGCTCAAATCGGCATTTCTAGCTGCGTTAGCTTCACTCTCGAGGACACCGTTTGCATCTAAATTCTTGGCAGTGGTTGTCGCTCCATTTCCTTCTGCATCTCTGATATCTCTGGTAAGGATATAATAAGCCAAGGTGAGAATGCTAGACTCCTCACTTCTCCCCAAATCAACTAGAGTATAACAGAAAAATAAGCAACAATAAAGATAAAAGACTACGAAAAACAACTGCACCTCCTGCTGCTTCCGTTGATCGATTTGAGTGGCAACTGCGAGCAAGGGGCGACAGCTGGGGCTTTGACTTGTGAAGGAGATACTTTTTCAGCCCTAACAACACGCCTACCTGGCCTTGAAATCGAATTCTTAGCTCCTGATGACTCCTCCACACTAGCTTTAGTGTCAAATTTATTGTTGCGCGTTCGTTTCTTCTGGCCCCACTGGAGGTTCACTCCATCTGGCTGGGGTCGCTTCGGACCTTCTTCCGACCCTTCCTCTTCGTCCTTCACACGACCATTCTCAACCGTCTCCTGCACTTTGTTGTCACTGCCATTCAGATCCTTCACTTGATGCGCTTGATGAGAGGAGCTGGCTGACTTCAATCTATTGCCTGGCATTTTCAGCAGAACTCTCCTATCCCCAAGCTTCACGCATTCTCCGGCTCGCTTATCATTCGGAACGGAGTTCTCGATTTTTAAAACCTTATCGCTGATCCTCTTCGAAAACTGCCCGGCGTGTTCCGGGAAAATATGTCTGCAAGTTAGGGTAAACCTTGTAAAAATTGGATAAGCATAGAGCTTGGCACTATGAGCACCAAAGCCGCTTCTGAACACAAGATCCCTCGATCCCTTCTCCGACATTATAGGGTTGCAAAAACCAGGTCAACTACGGAAACCTCACTTTGAGAGAGATGCGAGTAGAACACAAAACAAAACAAAATTAAATTAAAATAATTAAAATTCAGCGTTGCTACACGAGAGTGCGCGAGGGAAGCGTGCTTCACCGAATGTTATGGCGAACAGACACAGGTAGGAAATTCGGTTGCCTAGCTGTATCGTGCACGATCTTCGGTTCTAAACTCTTTGAAATATTTGAAAATTACATCTTCTATTGGACCGAAATCTACCTTAACTCAGCGTTTCATTTACCGGACCTCCCGCAGAACCAAAAGTGAGTACTTCTCTAAACATAAACATGGGAGCATTATGTGCACGCAGTGCTTGCTACGTCCCTCTGGCGCAACTTCTATCAGTCTGCAGGGGGTTAATGAACAAAACAAAAACTTTCTGCGGCGCCCACAAGGGATACACCCGACACCTAAACTCAAAACGGAGTGTTACAAAAAAAAAAAAAAAAAAAAAAAAAAAAAATCCTCGCAACCACAATTATGACACCCAAACTAACGGCGTCCGTTCGTCGGCCTATGACCGCACTTAGCACGAAAGGTTACAAAAAACCGTGAGCCATCGAAAAATCTGTTTTCTCCTCTAGCGTTCAGATCCCTGCCTCTAAGAATCACCGACATTTCTGTTCTTATTCGTGTTGACCAATTTCCAGAGCAACGCACACAGAATATTATCAGATACTGCCCGGGAGAACTTAAAAATGGGCATAGCCTTATCTCAACTCCACCACGCAAGAGCCAGCTTTGATCCACTCCGAAAAACCAACACGCAAGCAAGCACCATCAATCATACACCACAAGTGCACACGCATAGATTAACATGCAGACCTCATTGCTATCGATGATCACGTCCACAGCGCCAGACTATGCTACAGCACACAGGAGCTTCCGCACTTCCGCGCCTCCCAACGAACAACATCAAGAGACAACAACGTCGCAACCCTGCAGAAAAATCGCGAACAACAACACAACGACGATCAACATCTTCCTTCCCTCTTCTTCTTCTTCTTCTTCATCATCCCCCCCTCCATCCCCCTCCCTGCCCCTCCACCACAAAATCGCCTCACAAATTCATCACAATCCCTCCCCGAACGTCAAATCAACAAACCTCCCATCAGTCCAAACCAATCTCCGCCATCTTCCCACACAAACACCACGCCATCACACACCACCACCACGTACTGCCTAATCAATAAACTCACGTTATGGAGCTCTAGCAACAACATTCACCGCGCACAATCAACGCCCCTCCGACGTGCTCCGGCGCTCTGTTCGTAAATGCTTCCTTCAACGCTTGGCAACCTCAACAACAAAGTCTCACACACACACACACCCGAGAAGGGCCCCCTTTCCTCGAGAGAGCGTTCCTGTAGAACAACACCTACACTATTACGAACCAACCAATTCCACACGAAGGAACAGAAATCATCCACTATATTCATCTATTGTGGGGGTGTATAAGTGGATGAATGCTGTTGCTTACCAGCAGCATCGAGCGGTAGGGAGCCCCCCCCCCCGACACTGGCCCCGTCAGACACGCTACCCTGTAGGGGCCTACCCTTTCAAACTGGCCGTCTAATTCTGAGGGTTTACCGCTATACCTGGAGGAATGCATGAACGTGTTTAATGGATGGATACGTGGATGGCTGGGTGAGTGGATGGATGTGTTGATGGCTGGGTGAGTGGATGGATGTGTTGATGACTGGGTGAGTGGATGGATGTGTTGATGACTGGGTGAGTGGATGGATGTGTGGATGGCTGGGTGAGTGGATGAATGTTTGGATGACTGGGTGAGTGGATGGATGTGTTGATGACTGGGTGAGTGGATGGATGTGTGGATGGCTGGGTGAGTGGATGGATGGGGTGGGCGTCAATGCACGTCTGCCCCCAATAATCCTTGTTTGTTTCTTCTGCTTCAGGTTTTGGCATTGAAAACATGCCTTGCCCTACACACAGTCATCAACCAATTTGATTTCTCAATATAATTTTAACAAGTTGGTGAATCTTATTTGTGTTAGTTCCGCAACTTTTTTGAATAAGCATACCCAAGGTTTTAGTTTACGTGTTAGTTTTAACACCCATATGGCTAACTTATTCACTAAAAACTTGTAAATATTGAAAGTAAAATGTATTTTTTTATGTTAAAAATATAAATATATATATATATATATATATGAATCAAATTTTCTCCAATGAACATAATAAATGTCTAGTGGTGTTATTAGGATATACTCCACAATTGACATATAGAAATTAGCATTGGATACCCTAGCTTTGCTTTCAGAATTACATGTAAAATCAAATCATTAACACTATATATATATATATATATATATATATATATATTGTGCAACTAACAAATATTCTAGTGGTTTGGTTTGATATATCTATATATATATATATATATATTTTTTTTTTAAATTTTGTTTATGTAGAAAATAAAATGTTATCACAAATATTTTAAAATAACCAAATTTTATTATTGATTTTACCATCACAATTATTTTAATATATATATATGTAAAATCCACCATCTACTCAACATATTTTTTATTTTTAATTCTAATAATAAATTATATTTATACTATCAAAATATTTTCTTTTTAAATTATCTAAAAAGTAAAATTAATTTTAATTAAAATAATTAAAATTTTAATAAGAATAAGTTGTTGTGTAAATAACAAAAATTATGATGGCATTTGCAAAAATCTTAGATGTATTGATATTTTGCAAATATAATATTTTCAAATTTTTGAAATGTGATACCATAGTTGTACTTTTAAAAACAATCTCAAATCAATTTTGATTGAATAGTTGTAATATTTATACGAAACTTATCTATCATAATTTATTTTAATCTTAATTGATTTTATTTGTGCTTTGAAATAAATGACTTGAATGGATTTTTAAAATTTCCATGAAAACACAAAAATAGGGTTTTACTTATAGGAACAACAATTACAAAAAAAATTGCCTTTTGCTTTGTACAATGCAAGCTCAATCTAAAATTTAAAATGAATTTCACAAATAAAATTACAATTTTACTTTATTATAACTCCAATCCTTTTCACTATTGTTACACAAATATTACATTGATCTTTTTTGTAATTGACTACCAACACTTCCATGTTCTATTTTGAACACCAATAATTCAAGTATTTACTTGTAACAGATACTTCACTTGGCTTGCATTTTGATAACCCATTTATGAATTTATTTGTTTTCAGCTTATTGACTCACTTTTTAATTTATAGTTTTTCCATTACTGTAAAATGAAAAGTTGTTGCGTTCATCCCCTAAAAATCTGATCTTTATGTTCAGGTTCTTCATACAACACCAATTCTCCTTGTTTTTATGGGTGAAGTCTACATGCTGTTTGGACTAAAACACTGATTTTTACATTTACAGAAGAATGTGACATGAAATTCTTAAAACATATATATATATATATATATATATATATATAAACTAGTCAACAGAGTATTTGGTGCTGTATAACAGGTATTGGTCTCGCTGTTCTTTCAAACAATAAGTCTTCATTGTTCATTTCATCGTACCCACAAAAAGCTCTTTGACGAACCTGTCGGTGATAGTATTATTGTTCAAGACCTTGACAATTGTAACAGTCAACTACATGGCTCTTTCTTTTCTACGATCATTTCCAAAGCTCTTGCAAAACTTAACTGCCTTGACACCGTATTGCATGACATTCTTGAACATAATCGCTGTATCGAGACTCTTGCTAACCGTTTGCTTGAAGGAGGAAAAGCTGAAAGAAGCAAAGCACCCCAGTTGAAGGCATGCAACGTTAGTTGTTCCATCAGAGAGAGAGAGAGAGCGAGTCTACATCTTAAGTTTCTTCAATCAGCAAGAGCAGAATTCCACAGGCTTCTAGTTCTAAAAAACCCTTCTTATGGTAATCGTTCTAATAATATGATGATCGGATCTAAGGATCGACCTGCTTAACAATGGACAGCATCAAGCGATTCCTCTTGAGAAAACATCCTGTTGCCACAATTGTGAGGAGTATCACAGGCAAGGGGAGTGTCTTCTTCCTTCTTATGGTGATGAATCGGCCAAGGAAACAGTCGATTGACTTCTGCTGCAGGACTTACCACCGATGTAAGCATGTACACAGAAACTAAGGTAACACAAGCTGGATTCCTAGCCTGTGCTGAACCGTCTACTTCTGGTTTTATGGCAATCAACTTCTACCGATCAACACCACAAGCATGGTATGCCGACAGTGAGGTTACGTCACATGATGTTCCATTAGCTCTTATTCGGGCACCATCGGTGTCAAACGAAATGACAAATGCATTCCTGCGAACCTATAACCCCAAATTTAGTGCTGTTTCAAACCCATTCCTCTCTAGCTCATTTTATAGCACTCTGTAGAAAACCAATAAACCTGAGGTTTCAACTTGTTGATTTGAAGAGCTGTCAGGTTAGATAAAGAGGACTGACTGGCATTTCGAAGTTCAATTTCTTTCAGCCAGACTGCTGTGTTTGTTGCGACGCCTCTCCCTTGGCAGAACCGCTGTAGCAAATCTGGAAGTGAATTTCAGTGATGCCATTCGGTCACTACGATCGCAACATTCTTTTCGCATCCGAAGCTTCTACCCATTCACCTTCCTCATCCACAACTGCTTCCTCTGATAGCGAAGCCAATACACGTAATCAACATGACGCAAATTACACAAGCAAGAGAAACCAAATGAAAGGCTATGCAGTTGCTTTCTCTTCACAATAAGTGAGCCATAGGAACAAACAGGCCGTAAGTAGGTTTAAACTAAGATCGAAATAGTAGGTCTACATTAAATATTGGCATTAGTGTAACTAGTACCATTTGGTACATGGACAATATGTTGTAACATAAGACTGATGCGTTAACGTCACTGATGCGTTACAGTGAGTACCTAAAAAAAATGGATAACACAAGACTGACAGCATGGCGTTGATTAAACACATGGTTTTGGAAGAGACAGACTTGCATGAAAGCCTTTACATCTGCAGAGGCGAGTCCAACGCCCGTTCACAAGATGTTAGTCACCAGGCTTGTTTAAGTGACTACCTCAGCCTGGGTTTGGTGGGGCTATCGAAGGCGTTGATGCGGTCCAGTTGCATATTTTTCATTCACTCTAGGCTGCAAATTCCAGACCATCCGAAATTCCTATGGCTCACTTATCCGAATTTTGTCGAGTGTGAACAATGAAACTTCAAAATTTCAACCAGATTCTTCAATAGATTAGAAGAGAACTTGCATGACAAGGGAAATAATGAGAGTACCAATGCAACTATCTAAAGCAACGACTATTATGAGACTGAAGAAGTGATAAGTTCGAGTGTTAGGCATCAAAACAAACGAAGTGATTCTCTGGAGCAGAGGAGCGTCCAGTTCTTTACACTAGAGAGCAAACCAAAAGATTTTGGACACATTGTAGATGTATCAACCAGCACCAATAAACAAGACCAGATTCTTAGATAAACGAATACAATTCCAATTTGACCTCAGGAATTACGGAATATAACATAAGTAGCAGTTTTACATACCGATTGAAGCAAATTCATACTAATATGAGGTAGACATTAGTGTACACTCCATAATTGACAATGTTGCAAAACACTGCAAAGCTACAATTTCAATACATACAAGGGTGGTAGCAAGTAAACAAAACGTGGGTGCGACGTATCAAAAAAAACTTCTCATTCCTTTTTCTAGCGTGGAAGACTTCAAAGAGCGTGTAACAATGTCTCGTCCGAAGCTGCCCTGATTAAAAACACACCAAAATCTTAAATTCATGTATATGGTTCTAACTTCTACAACTCGGAATAGAAGCAAACGTACTCAAGTTTCGCTAAAAGGAAAGGAACAAGCACGTGGATATCATTGGCAAGCTATCGTCATTACAGAGAACATATGACAGGAATGATGTCCTGTCATGCAATAGAACATGAGTGATTGAAGAATTGATGAATTATATATCATTTAGGTAGAATCATGCACCGAAGCAGAGCATTTTGAACATCATCAGCCGACAATCACCCTAAGCTAAGCTTGATAAATAAGGATACTGCAAAAAGCTCAAAGACGTAACAAGACTATCTCAAACTAATCAAGTCTAAAAGAGACATGAGATAACAGTTCCATATAGAATGAAACAAGGAGACACTGCCCAACTACAGGACTAACCAGTTGTGTAGAGCTGAATTATCAGGTAGTGGTCCTCCTTCCGCTCTCCATCGAAACTGCTAGCTTCACCCTGCCAATTTAAAGCGCAGTCAGAATATTGAAGTTTTCACTCGGGAGGAACTGGACGGTGCATCCTTGAAATTAAAGCTCCTATGCAGTTGAGGAAATTTTTGTGGTGCAGGATATGCAGCAGTCACTATAGAAGATGTAGCGATGTCGAAGTGCTGTTATGTTGATCCTGCAATATCGACCCAACATTAGGTCCCCGATTTCAGCTACAGATTCTTTCAGCCTTCCCAATGTTTCTTCAGAATCTGGTATACTGGTCATGTAAACAACTTTGTGACGTAAGACAATCAACATCAGGATAATGTCAGTAATGAATTTGAACAACACATGAAGAATAGTTAAGATGCTCATCAATAAACAAATGCGATTCTATGGTCTCTATCAGTCGTGCTTCTACAGATGCATCTGGGTCTCTGAACCGAAGAATAACAAGGATGATTATTTGCTAAAAGAGATCATACAGGGCAAAGGATTGCTGCCCTAGAAAAGTCATAAGCTTCAATGGAATTTTAGAAACTTACCCAAAAATTTAAAGCACAAAATTTACAGAGCTATTCTGAACTAACCACTATATACAGTGAACTTAATTGTTCGAATAGCAACGCAAACCACGCCCTCTTCATGGCGAACGACCTTCACAGCTTCACTGTAAAAGGAGAATGAAATCATTCTGCACTGCAAAGCAAGTAGGATATGAAGAAAAGGAGACTTGTAGAGAATACAAGGACATCTGTTGCTGTTGTCTACCTGGGGTGCCGCACAAACCTATCAGAGTGGATGGGGTACTTCATGAATATGCAGAAAAATAGCGAGATGATAACACATTGTTAAAATCTTCCAAGTGACCATGATTAACTGTGACTCAACAGTTTGTTCAAAATGGATGGGCTAAATGGAAGCGTAATGGTGACAAGAGGTTGGTGCAGTGTTATGTTTCCCAAGGAACATGATACGATAAGCGAGATGCTATTCATGGTTTAGATCAAAAGGGAAGGAAATTAGACGGTTAGTGTTGTAACTGCTGAAAAAAGTTGACTGCACATGTTCAGGAGATTCGAGACACAGGTCACAAGTGTTCAAGTACTTCGCCTGTAACGTAATGAGGTTAGTGACTCAATTTGATATGCCAATGCATGGATGCACGACTTGCACTTGATAATGTGATCAATGTCGTGATGAGTCCGAGTATAAGATTCGGCCTTTACTTCATGAAAATAAAAACAAGCTATAAGATCCACTAAGATACGACTTCGACTGTCGGTAGCAACCATGTTCTGTTGGACAAAATAATTAAAGAGAAGAAAAAAGAAAAAAACGATATGACGCCTCCCCTATTCCCCTGCATGAGTGAGATTCAGACTTAATACATAAATATGGCGTGTTCGAAGCGTAAAAATTTGTATCATAATAATCAGCGTTAGCAATAGCTGCACAGCTACAGTGGGTGAATTTTTGTCGGCCCTCAAAATGAGAACAAAAACTTCCACCATCTGCTTCAACGCAAAAATACTAAGTAAGCTAGTCAGTACCGGCTAGGGTTAGCAGAATTGCTGCCAACTTGAAGAATTTGTGATACAAAAGATACTGCCAACATCTAAATCTTGAGAGAGCTGTTCAATGTTTCACACAGAACGACTAGATACATCCTCATGACGAAATTCTACAAATCAAAACTTCATCCTTGCAAAACTACAAACTTTGGTTGCAACTTTGACGTGATATGTATTCATGTCATTAAGAAATTCCATCGGAAAGACAGCCAGACCTCATCCAAAACATGTAGGGTCGTGCTGACTTCCCAAAATTCAAAGTACTGCCATGGAACTGTTGTGAACAGTACATGTTGCCATAAAAGTAGATAACCATTTTGTGTTGTAACATTCCCAGACCTGTTAAATCAAACGAGTTGCAGAAATTCCTTTTGCTCCATCCTGTTCAGCTGCGAATTGACAATTACGACAATCTTTCAAATCATGTATTGTGTGACAAGCTCCCTCAATCAAAATTATTTTTTGACGATCTAAACGACTTCTAAACAAAGCAGTCAATACTGACTGCTGACGGACTCAGGTCCATTGCCCTCACATTGTTGGAATATGTAATGGCAGTTTCCATTTGCAGCTGATCGTTAAGGCACCTGCACCTAACCATACAGTACTACATTTAATAAATTGCGCTATAGCTCAGAGAAATTGTAGAATCCATTTCAATTACTTCAACAAGTATCGATACCCATGAGAAATGGCATTACACTCAGCAGATTTTACCAAAGCCAAAGAATCTGGATTGTATTACATCGACGGTAGTGGCAAACACTAGGTCGCTTAACTCGATTTTCATGTAAATCCCCGAAAAAAAAACTTTCAAGTTAGCGAAAAACACATATCACTCCCTCGCTCTTACAACACGAATCCCAACGTAAAAGGTTCCTTCCAAAATTTCGTAACTACCCACACATCTAAAACTTGATATCATAACACGCACAAAACTATGCCCCAAATGCCGAGCCTCAAGCCTCAACCTCTCGACCAGGCGATCACCTACAAAACTTCCCATTATCATATCACCTCCGCCCAATCTCAGCGCCCCGACCACCATAACTGATCCTCGCCATAATTTTACAACTCACCTACGTTAATAAATCGCAAAATGCCGCTTTATCCTCCTTCGTGAAGAGCCGACACTGGGGTGCTCCTTCTACTCCTGCGATCGTTTCCTCTTGCAATTTAATTTTGCCTCCTGGAATCTTGTCCCAAGCGCCTCGCCATTATCCTCCCTCCCACCTCCGAGGCCATTCTTCTCCGCTGCCACATGGGGCCATTGTTCTACAATCATGATCCTTCCACTCCGTCCCATTTTCGAAAATACATAGACAAACCCTTTTTCAATCTATCTACTCGACGCCGCAGTCGCAAATCAATTTCCGCCACTCTTGTCTTGCAAGCCAATTTCCCGAAGGCATCGACTTGATATGGTCCCTGATTCAAACCACAAGAGCGATTTAGTAAGTTAACATTGGCACAGCACGAACTGTTCCATCTGGATAAATTCCACTTGCATCCATTGTTCAATACACTGCTGCTTCGATGCGCACCCTAAATTCCGCTCCTCGGCGGGTGATGGGGGGGATTTTTGCTGAGACAGGAAGAAGGAATGATGAACGTCGTTACCGACACGCACCCTGTGATAGCTGCGAGGACTTCGAATGTTCCCCGTAGCACCCATCGACTTTCCGAGATAGGAAGGCGTTTGATTGTCGGTCGGAATATTTCACAATGAATTCTCGGAAGCCAATGTGGGGCTTTGCCAACCACTTTTACTCGGAAATGTCAATAGTTTTGACAAAAAGCAGCTTGTGTTTCCAGCTCACCCCGCAGCAAAGCAAAAAGAAGATGATACATCATTGGTGAGACAATAGGAAAAGCGGTGATGGGCTTTATGGTCCATCCACTATTGGAAAGACGCACTTTATCATTTGGGTAGTGGTTATCATTATCATCGATTTCTGCTTTTTTAAGTTGGTGAAATCAACGCAAAGATATTCTAAATGAGAGTGTTGTTAGAAGTAGTACGATCTTTTTCTGTGAATGATAAGATATCATGTTTTGATTGCTCACAGCAGGACGTGATTCAAGTTTTGTTGTATCCGAGCTGATACTTGTTTAAAAAGTTCTTGCATTATGGTGCACCGTGCACCGTGAACTGGTTTGTAAGTTGAGCTGTACATCCACTTGTCAAACATTTAATGCTGCGCAACATAGAAAAAAATGAGCGTTTCATGTGTGATATTGGTATGTATTTACATATATAGTATATGTATCTCCAACATCAATATACACACAGGACACATCACATCAAAAAAAACAATTTGCAGGATGTCAACGTAAGGAGGCTTGATGAGTGTCAAATTCTCCCGTCTCCATTTTAGAAAAAATCCTTTCTCAATTTCCAAAACATGCCTACAGCACTGATCCACGTTGCCATGTAGGGTTACCGTATCACTTTACCATCGTTTTTTCTTTATTTTCCTTCAATACTTCCCTTCCAATCATTTTCCCCAGTTGCAACATTCCTCTGCCAGAGCACCTTTGTTGACAAGATACACAGAGCGACAAATTACATTTTTAATAATTATTTATCGGACAATATTCGATGCGAATGGATAATTTAAAGTGATTTACCAGAAGTCACCATGTCTAACATCTTGATAGCCAAGAGAAACGATAAAATGCTGACATTGAACCCGAGTGAAGGTATCCTACAGAAACTCCCGCTGTTCTTTCTCCTAGTGCCAAATTGATTTCCTGATTTTCGAATCAGTCTCCAATTGAATACATGTACAACTGCGACACAGTCTACTCTTATGCACTTTCCCACCTCATGTGGTATGAACTCAGAGTTGCCCTGCCACATCGAATCCAGACACATCTGAAGATTGAAATAGGAATGCATTGAACATTTAGTAATAACATCTATTCTACATAAAAGGACAGCTCATTTCAGAGCATAATTTTGATATTGTACAATTCCGGAGGTAGTGCCTCCGCCACAAGAATAACCTAAACTAACCGAACAGCGCATGGTCTGGATCAGGTAACACCTGCTGGAGGACCAACATCAGTCACGGTCTGATGATATACGATAAGAGACCAACTAGATCATTTCGAATGGTCCTTTGGAGCAAGGCAATCGAATAACTCATTTGAGCCTCCTCGCCTATGATCTGAAATTCTGAAGGTGGAGTTGGATTGTAGGACCTAGGTCGAATGTTGAAGACGAATTAGCTGCAATCTCGCTCCGATAATTGAAGGACTTTCAACTTCAATGCGTTGGAAGTAGACATAATGAAAATCACGCTACCTCAAAAACAGTTAAAGTAAAAACAGACGATTCCTGAGTCTACGTCGCAACTTCAGCCAATTGAGGCATTTTCAAAGACGATCCAAGATCAGGAAGCCGATTCCACTGCAGGTTCGGTTTAACGATTGCATCTTGAAGCATTAGTAGTTTGGAAGTCCTGGGATCTCCGAGCCATTCCCGAACTATATGTCCAGCACAAACCAGACGTCCTTCATTGTATCGACCAACTTGAAAGGGAGCCTTGATCTCTTGTAACCTTAATTCTACAGCTCGTTTCACAGTGCTGACACCTGCCACTTTGCTGTGTTTTCCCCACCCCGTCAAGATGCTGAGCACTCGAGGAAGGGCATGGCCATCCCAGACCAAGGCTCTGAGATCAAGAAGCCAGACATGCAGCATAGCTTGCGCTGCACCTACAGACATAAGGTGAAGGTCGAGACAGAACTGCTGCTCCGAACGCCACCACGCGTTCTCCCACACTTGTCGTCGCTTCGCAGCAACAACTACTTCTTGAGCTCCCTGTCTCTGTTCGAACATGAAGAACGAACCCTTGAATATGAGAATAATATTTTACTGAATATATAACCATATCAACAAGACTCGATTTGTATGATCGACTAACGGGATTTAAGATAAAGCACGAGATGCACATTCCACACAGAAAAGGGATTTAAAAAAACATAGTTAACTAACCTGACCAAAATGCCACAGCACATCCGTAAGAGCATTGTAAAACGCTGCTCCTGTAGCGTAGTCCATCCGAGAAATCTCGTCGAATAATCGTTGCGCCTCAACCCAGACTTGCTCTCTCAAACCCATCAAAAGCCCATGAGCGATACCGTACACCCAGCCATCGAAAAAGCGCATCTGTTCCAGCAGTACAGATGCTTCTTGAAGCGAAGCACACCGACTGCATCCAATTGATCCAAGTCAATCACAAAGATTCAAGACACACATCCATGTAATCCAAGCTACAAATTCGAATGATAGCGTACACATCTGATCTGACAGTGCTCACCTGCAGGCGTTCAGTATAGCAGAGAATGTCACAACATTTGGTTTCAACCCAAACTGCTGCATCTCATGGAACACACTCACAGCAGCTAAGACACCAGTGTGGTCACTCGCATTCTGCTGAGAGGGTGGGGGTTTGCGGACAACTTCCATGCTCCTTTCTCCAATTTTTTGAACGGAGTTCGGCATGTTCGCCTTCACAGCTTCCAGTTTGTCAGCCTGCAGATATCCCACATGTTAATTACACTATACATCGAAGTCAACCTTCCAAGTGAATGAAGCCCACACCAGACACATATCTGAACAATTTCAAGGAAGAATTACCTACTGGCTAAAAACTAAGAAACACAGCGAAGATTTAAAACTCATGCAGATATTACACATACTTGGCCATATCTCCCGTACGCATCGATGAGTGAGTTGTAAGTCACGATGTTTGGCTGAATTCCAGCTTGTGTCATCTCTTGCAGCAAGACTACGGCATCTTCGACCAGACCACACTTGCAGCATGAGTCGATAAGTGAACTATACAGAACAACGTCTGGTTTCAACCCGGCGCGTTTAAATTCGGTAAACACGTTTGAAACATCTTGGTGCATGCCTGCTTTCGAGTACGAATCAATCAAAGCAGAATATGTCAACACGTTGGGAACAAGACCCTCGCCCTTCATCTTATCGAAAAGACACGCGGCATCCTTGTATTTCCCCTGCTTCCCATAAGCATCGATCAACGCGTTGTAAGTAACCACGTCGGCCTTCAGACCAACCCTTTCCATGTCCTTACAAGCAATCAAGGCATCGTCGAAGCGTCCAAGCTTGGCGTAAATGTCAATGAGTGTATTGTATGAAACGCGATCAGGACGAACGCCTGATTCCTTCATGTCGTGGTAAAGACTTATAGCTTCCTCAAAGCACCCCAACTTTCCATAACCATCGATCATGGTACTGTACGTGACCACATTAGGACTAATGTTCTTCCCTCGCATAGTCGTCATGATGGAAGCTGCGAGCTCCATTTGTCCTCCCTTGCAAACGGCGTCAATAAGTGTGTTGAAGGTAAAAATATCTTGTTCGATTCCCCTCCGTTGCATTTCAGCAAACACTCGCTGAGAGTCCTCCCACAGACCACCCCGACTGCAGACAGCAATGAGTGAGTTGAAGGTGATACGGTCAGGCTCCACGCCCTCCTTCTGCATCTCATCAAAGATATCGAGGGCCTGCTTCAGGTCCACTCCACCTTTCCCGCACGCATCGATTATGGTATTGTACGTAATCAAATTCGGCTTGCATCCAGCCTTTTTCATGGCCTGGAAAACCTTGAGCGCCTCACGACATCTTCCGCTCCGCCCATAAGCACTCACCATAGCAGAGTAAGCATACACGTTGTTCCCGAATCCTGCCTTCTGCGCTCTGTTGAACACATCAAGCGCTATTTCCACCTTCCCCAGTCGTCCTAACGTACTGATCATGATACTCGCCAACTTACTCCACTCGCTCCGAAGATGAACTTGCTGCACCATCCACTCGTATCCCTGTAGAGCTCGCTCCCACTCACCCCGGTTCCCAAGCTCGCGCAGCAGATAAGGAAAATCTTCCAGACCGACGAGCTGGTGCGACCACTTCTCCAACAACAAAGCAGTTGAATTCAAGGGTGTTGACGGCGCTGACAGGATCTCCTGCGCGGCCAAATCCGCCTCGGGGCTGTGCTTTCCCATATACAACTTCTGCCGTCCATGATGAAACTTGCTCACCAACCTCGTCGACCTCCGACCACAGAATTCGGCATTTAAACCCCCAGCGGTAGTCGCTGCAGCGGACGCACTTTGCGTCTGCTGCTGATGCCCGGGCTGCTGGTGCCCCCAGCCAGCCCTATTGTTTCCAGTGACAGCCACCCGCTGGGACACCCACGCATCGCCACCGTGATGCCCGCCTTGCCTTGTCGTCGGCCTCCATCTCCCTCCTCGACTACTACTCGCGGATCCTTTCAATCCCGCGCTCCCATGATTCCCAACCACCACTCCAACACCTACCCCGGCACTCGCTGCCTTCGCCTCCGCAGACAGAAAACCCGCTCCACTCGCCATCTCTAATCAAACGCCAAAAAATATTTCCTAGTTTTTTTTCTTTCACCCCCTCTCTCTCTCTCTCTACCCTCGCTACTCACAGCCTAAGCCACGTCGTAGCGTGTTAAAGCTTCGATACAACCATGCAGAACTACGTGAGAGAAAGTCACCATGAGACCACCCGGCAACAACTTCTCCCCGACCCTCCCTCCACCATCTCTAACTTGCCCTAAACTCTACATCAATCCCATGGATCTATCTAAACTCCCAGCAACCCCACCCTCCACCGAGGAATAAGAAGAAGAAATGCTGACTGCTCTATATCTCTCAAATCCTAGCACCTCACGGAAGCAATATACTGGAGGCCGAATAGGGAGTAGCCACGCCCCCTCCCTCCCTAGCGATAAACTTAGGATGCTTCAACGTCGACTGCCCTACTGTTGCTGCGATGGGCGCGGTGGCAGCCTCACGATGACATGCTCCTCCGCTCCCTCCCTCCCTCCGTGAACTCTCATGCCTCGCCATTATCTAACCCAACCTGCCCCACCACCGCCACAATAACAATACGTATTTGTACGTGCTTGTGTATGTATATTCCCTATATTCCACCCCACTCATCCCCCAAACCTAAAACATATGTATATATAGTATGCGCGGAAGCATGCTCACCCCCCGTCCCGGGCCCCGACCCGACCCGTCCCGAACCTGCTTCTGCTTCTCTTCAGCACCTATACGGGATGCCGAGACGGGCACCTCGGGCAGATCTCGGGCAGCCCACAGGAACTTTTTCTCTTTCAATGGAAAGCCTGAGGACGCGCTTGGCTCCGAGCTGTCTCCCCTTCTCTTCCATTATTTGTTTTTATTTATTTATTTAGTTATACTATATTGTTAATTTATATTAGTGTGGGTTCGTGTGTTCGTGTGTTCGTGTACATGTATAATCCGGGAGAATGGGAACTGAGAGTGAAGCAAAGGCGTGGTTAGTAGGTTGAGGGGAAAGAGGGAGCTTCCTCGTTGGAGTTTGTTATTCAACAAACAAATAAATAATGTTCCCGTTCCACATTTATAGCTTTGTGAGCCAATGTGGGGTGTCTATTTTGTGGTGATGATTTTATTACTATGATTATTATTATTAGGGTTTATTCAATGTGCAAAAACCCGTACAGTAGTTAGCTTTCTTTGGTTTTAGTGGACAAATTATTTTAGTGCATGAAGCATTGACTTGCTGAAGTTTTGTAAATTGTTTCTTTTATAAAAGACAGGGTAATTGAAGGAGGGAATGGCATGTTGGGTAGTTTATGATATTGTGACTTTGGCCATACGTCTGCATTGCAATAGATTTGTTGGAATGATGATGATAAAAAAATAAAAAAAAAATAAAAAAAAAAACTCATGTCAACATTGTTTTAATATCACTTTGAACTGTTGTATTTGTTTTTAGTACCCAACCTTTGAAGTCATTTATTTATTTACTCATATAAAACTTTCATGAAATGGATTGAATGATGAAGTGTGAATCAATGATACCAGATCTTTTTACTTTCTTACTTGTTTCAATAATGACAATTAGGTTTTACAAAGATTTTCGAAGAAGATTTTGATTAAATCACGGATTGCTCAAAAGTCTACAGAATCTTTTGCAAACACTTGAATAGTGCAATCAATTTTTTGGAAGCTTATCGAAGTTTCTAAAAGTATGAAATTGCTCATAAAATCTTTTAGAATATTTTTGAAGATTTAATTGCTTTTAAATGTTAATTGAGACTATGATAAAATAGTAAAAAAATAAAATAAAATAAAATAAATCACTAACTAGTACTTGAGCATATTTTTCAAAAAAATCATGCCGGAATTGTTTGGAATGAGATTTTTTAATGACATTATTTAATATTTGGATGGTTTTATTTTTTATGGAGGATATCTATGTAAAAGGCGTTAACTTTTTGTGTGCTTAATGAATTGATTGTTGCAAAGAAAGCTCAAAGTCCAAATCTTGAAATGCTCTAACAGTCTTCAAGTTTGACTCACAAATGGTATGAATATAAGATTATAAAACTTTGGCTTACAAAATTGAAAAAACTATGAACCCAAAATCTAGCATTGTTATTCTGTGATACACATTATGGGGGAATATTTATCTTAAAAATAACATCATTAATAACTATTAAAAACATCCTATAATATATGTATCTATTTAAGACATGCTGGTATTGATTTATAAAGACACAACTAAAACTTTTCAAAAAGCCTCTTTATACATCGATTAGGTTTGAATGTGGTTTCTCTGTATGTTTGTATGAATACACACACACATATATATATATATATATATATATTAAAACAACAAATTAGAGAAACAAAAATAAATAAATAAATAAATAAGTAAATAAAATATATTTATAATCATTGGTAACTTAATTAGCCTCAATTTCACATTTATACTAAGTTATAATATATAGGGTTTTAAAACATATCAATATTACATTTTTTATGTAACATTTTAAAAAATTTCAAAAATATAATTTGATTTACAATGAAATTTTATCATATGTATCAGTTCAAAGATTCAATGATGATTACATGATATAAGTTTTTAATTAGAAAATGCAATCATATAATTAGTTGTTATTATATATTCAAAATAATTAAAATTTAATTTTAAATAATTGTAAGCAGCATTCAAAGAATTTAACTATTTTAATATTATAAAAATTATATTTCAAGGTGGTTGCACTGTATATTATAAATTAGTTCTGTAGATAATTATTAAACCTTTAATACCATTTCATTCTTTCAATATTTCCAACAAATGCTTTACGGTGTTTAGGTATGCTGAAAATTTTCAGTTGTTCCACATTTAATGTCATTATATATATATAGATAGATAGATAGATAGATAGATAGACACACTAGTAGAAAGGTGTGATGTTGGGCACCACAATCTCGAGCATATCCATCCATTTCCATGTTCTTCCATGCTCTCTCGTTTCCTTATCCCCATGTTCCTTGCATTCCACTTGTTCCCTTCTTTATGGCCAATCAAAAGACTTCTTTGTGTCTTTGTATTATAACCAAGTTCTCATATATATATATATATATATATATATAACCCTATTTTAAAGGCTTATATTTATTTCTAATAAAGGTTCATGTGACTAGTGGAAGGTTATCTTAACTTATAAATATATACATATATATATTTTGACATGGGGGTTAATGCAGTTCACATGGTCCAAAATCAAATGCAAGTCAATGCACAAATAAATCATTTCTTAAAAAAATCAAATATTTGAAAGTATTTTGGATGTCAATCATCACTTTCATTATAATTTGTACAAGTAATACATAACAAACACCAATTCCAATCATGCTACACATGTTAGCCAACTTTTATATCATTCTAACTTCCCAAGCAAAACCCTAAAGTTTAATTAATTAACTTGGCAAAGCCAATTTTGATGACCCGAATCGAAACGCGGAGGCGCGACTTTGGGGACCTGGCGTTCGGCCACGATCGAACCCCGGCTCCGACGCCTGTAGAAAAATCGAATGCTCCGTCTACCTTAGCTTGCGCATGTATTCCCAAGTCTTATCCTTACACACGTGACCCAGGTTCGATCCCTCCCGATATTAAGAGGAAGCTTTTAGGGCATTGTTTTCTCCGGCGAGGATTGTGCGGCAGTGTTTGTAGGTGTCAGATCTTGAGTGCGGGCAAGTGGTGGACAGTTGGAGGGCATGGGTGCCGACGTAGGTTATGAATGTGAGTGTGAGCAGTTGTGTTGTTCAGACAATCCATTCGCGTTACGTGTACAGTCTTCTCCCGTTGGCTTGGTGCAGCGTCACTTTTTATTATTCTACAATTAGGGTGGATGGATGAGGTTGTCGTCAGATGGTGTAATGAGCTGACGAGATGCTGTCGTTTCTCTTCGCGAGAGTGGTCATGTGTGATTTCTGTGATTTGTCAGAGCCCTCTTGTCTCTTTCTCCGAGGACGCGGTTCGTGAGATGAAGAGACTAGGTACAGCTGATCTCCTGATGGACTTACCATGTAAAATGACTTCCAAGTTTTCCGATCCACAGTGAAGCGTGTAGTGCCACTGTTGTGAAGGAACCATGAAGCCCTACGGTTAGCTCATGAGGAATTCTTTTAATGTGTGTTGTGATTCCACACGCATTTGAATGTGTACTGGACTTGGTTTCTTTACTGTTGAATCCCAGGCAGTAACCAATTTAGTCATGAATTATGTCTCTTCTATAGCTACTGTTTTGAGAAGGACTCTTGCAATGGTGAAATTAAACAGCGCTTACAAAGCTTACGAATGTAAAATATAGCTATTATTATGGCCATTAGATTATTGTCCGTGTAAAAATACATCTGGACCTTATAAAATAGTCCTTCTAACCCCATTGCAATGTCATGATATCGCATAATTCAAGCAAAATACAAATCTTTCCCAATTGGGCGCCACAAAATTGGGGAAGACGCACATTCCCAACACCCACTACAATGCTTGGTCTTGCCAACCTATTAAAAGAAAGTGGAAAAATCACCCGTACACTACAGTTTTTCAGCAAAATCTACTGACAGTTGCTCTTCTCCTCTTCCTTTTCTTATGTGGTACTCTTGCCTCAATCAGAGGCTCAACTTTTTCTCCATACCGTGTCGCAGGCGTTCGAGGTGCTCGTGCAATTTATAATTCTAAATATGCTTCTTCAGTTCATAACAAAACTACTTTCATACGCAGATTGAGATTCTAGATTATATTAACACTACCATACATTATTTACAAGATCATAGCGCAACAACAATTCCTCTTACAATTCCTGGAACGCTTACCATAGCAACATGCACGCCATGCCAACATTGCTCCACACCTCAACTGGTTTTGGCCCTTCAACATGGCCACGGACTATGCTGGAGGTCTATTGGGAAAAACTCTATTGGTCTTCATGTAGGACAACAATTGGTCGGGCAACTCTCGCAACAAACTCTTAAATGCTGATTCCACGTTGCTCACGCTCTTCATGGACACAAACTGAACAATATCACGAACGGCTACTCGCCCATGTTTGGTTGCGAGCCTCTTTTTATCAGAATCCAGGAGGTCCATGGCGCTGAAATCCGCATTCCCAACACCCACTATCAAAAGGGACAGTGGAAGGTTCGATGCTGCCACAATAGCATCCACCGTGGCATCCATGTCCAGAATTGCACCATCCGTGATAATCAGGAGTACGAAGTACTTCTGTTGTCTTTGATACTTTTCTGCCAAGGAAGCCGCTTGCCTTATCACAGGTGCAAACCAGGTGGGTCCATACAGCTCCACGCTGCACACGGCCTGAGAGTATGCTGCCAGAATGCCGTCAATTCCAGACACCTCACAGTTGCTCTCGTTGCCATTCAGGGCGAAGCAGTGAGACACCCCCTGGTTCGGCGGTATTCGCCCTCCGAACCCCCAAACTGGAAACATCTTGTCGCTGTCATAATACTGAAGCACGCCACCCACTTGTACTATCGCATCCTGGTATGCATTCAAGCGCCCGGCTGGATCAATGTAATGCAGCGACTTAGGCAGACGAGGGTCCCCGTTCGAAGCAGTGAAGTCCACAGCCACGTAGAAGCTTATCTCGCACCCACCAAACACGTAGTCCAGAAAAGAATACACCGGAATTATCACACACATGTCCACAAACAGCTTGCCCCGACCCTTATCATGATGTCTTGCCATCTGAGAGAGGCGAGTCAGAGTTAAGCACGCCTTCGCTAGAGCCAGCTCTAGCAGTCCGTTCAGCGAACACTTAACTGAACCAATCAGCTTGTGTTTCCCACTGCTGTTGTAGTCCAGAACCTCTAAAAGCAACGGTATGTCCTTGTTTCCATTGCACAGCTGCTGGAGAGTAGTCCGAAATGGTCGCCAAATGGGGTTAAGGTTGTTCTCCTCCTCCTCCGTCTGATAGACTGGTGTGATTGACCCATCTGGCTGCACCCTTGAGATTCTAAGGATGGGATCGCTTTTCGAAAACATTTCGCGGTTTTCCAAGTTGGTGCAGCGGAACGCCAGCTCCACCTCTTCAGGCCTCGAGATTTCGGAGACCTCCTCTGCACGGACGGAGAGGTCCCCACGAGAATGACCCAGCCCATCAGGGTTGCGTCTCTGGAGTGGTCTGGTGAGCACATGTGAAGGAGAATTTATGACTTCGGCAAGCGTGATCTGCATTTCTCCCAGATAATCTTGCTTATTTAGATCGAATTGGTCCGAAGTCTTTGTCTTGTAATTTGAGTCCACGTCGTAAACGGCGAGACGAAGAAGTTGCACTTCCTCGAAGCGATAGTCAATTGTCAGTTGATAGGTCCATTTGGGATTCAATGTGTTGGGGATTACTTCCGACCGCCCAAGCTCGCTCTCTCTCCCCGCCGCAGTTCTCTCATACACGACCAGCATTGGATCACTCGTACCCACAACATCCCTGTTTTTTAAGTCTTTCGCAGAAAATGATATTTGCACCTTTGAACTTGGAGAATAAGACGCACTCGAGAAGGGATATACCATCTTCTCCAATTAAATCTTACAGCTCTGAGGGTATGTACGTGGTTTCTCGGACTGGCGATCTATGCTTTTGTACAAGTGTTTGGCAATTTGTAGCAATGCCTTCTCATTACTTGTAGCTGCAACTTGCTTCTGCAAGAGGAAGCCACAGCGGGACTAAAATTTTAAATAATTTGAAAGAAAAATGGAACCCAAACAGTGTGAACCTATCTCTACCCCAGTTTTAAAGAAATCTAACAAAGAAACGGCAAACGCGCAATCGCTTCAACAACTGAGCTCAAAATCCAATATCAAATTCGTCGTGATGAATTATGCGCTAAAAAGAACATTCCAGATTAGTTGGTTCATTCATTCATATATTTTAATTTAATTACTTTAATTTTAAAGACGAAGAGATGTCAAATTCCCACTCTCACTTTACCTGCTGATGATGAGGTTTCTTCTAATGACGCCGAAACTTTCCCCAAAGACGCAGCAGTAGCTGTAAGTAGCGCACGACCGACTCACTGCAAACGACCCAGACGCATCAGTTCCTCAGTTAGTATATTAAAAAAAACCCCAGAATAACCTCTTCATGCCACATGGAATACATTTCATTCCTGCAGAAATCAATCGCTCGAGAAAAGCAAACCAAACCGCTTCTAAAATCAGCCAACTACAATCCACACTGGCGCTGAGAGTATCAAGCCAGAAGCCCACCTAATCAAAACCCTAACTGAAGCTTTTTCGCACAACAACGCTCAGTTCGAATTTCAAGTCCCGAAAAACAAAAGCGTCAGTACGCGATCAGAATCGAAATGCAGCCGTAAAGAAACATGAAAGCATCCCACACTCCGCAGAGGTTTGTATAACAAGCGCTTCCACAACAGCACTTCCCGACAATGATGTTTCAACTGCAGACAAACAATGCAAGTCAGCAACGTCGGTAGGGCTGAGATGAGAGCCGTTGGGCAGACAACCGCGAATCCGGTAACACGAGACGAATTTCTGCCCATAGAGTTGAGGAAGTTGCCACCGATAGATTTCCTTGAAGGTAGAGTTGAGGAAGTCAAAGTTGACACATGAAATAAAATGAGTGCTTTCAACGAAAATGTCCAATGGACCTCATGCTACTCTCCATTTTCTCCCCTAAAATTTTGACATTTGAACTCAATTTATACCTAGAAAGTCCACTTTGCGAGGTCATTGCAATAAAAATTCTTTTTGGAGATAGTATAAAGTGAAAAAAGACATGGAATATATTAAATTATTACTATTATTTAAGCTGTATTCATGTGTCAACTTGTATCTTGATTTCAATGTTCTTACAAGTATCATAAATTTGTTAAATGATTTACAGATATTTTTAGCAAAACTTGACAAAATTATTGTAAAAATCACATCTTTGAGATAGGTTTATTTTAAATTTTGAGAGAAAATATTATTTTTGCTACATAAAAAATAAAATAAAATAAAATAAAAATATATGCCTTATCATTTCTTCACATTGATTTGTTTTTATAAATATTAAGTCAATCAAGTGAGTTTTTTCAATTGAAATCAATTAGAAGCTTTTGAAAGTTGTAGCCTCCCATTTTTTTTTCTTCTAAGTATGAAAAATCTTTTAACAATGATTCCAATTATGATTAATTAATAGTAAAAAGTTACTTAATAAGAAATAAATTAATAGAGATTTATATGTACATATTTAGATAATTGAGATTATAATAGATATCTTAAAAATAAAAATATACCTATAGATGCATTGTTATTTTATTTATATTTTTTACTCAACAAAATATGTTTGTTGGATTAGTTGATTAATTGGATATAAGAACAAAAAATCTTAAGTTCTAATAATCTAAATTCAAAGTGGGTTTTGGATGATTACAACTATATCACATAGTATTTTCTATTCTAACATATTACTCGTCATTCAATGTATGTATAAGTAGATTGCTACAAAAAAAATGTTGTGATATGTTAACAATGCTATATTTACTCTTTAGTTTTTGAGTTTGTTTTAACCATCATTCAATTATTTTAGTATCTTATACATATAGTGCTTATCTTTGATTGATTTAATAATTTTTTTTCTTAAATTTAAGAATTTTATTTAAATCAACCTTCTTTAATATGAAAAAAAATTAATTCTTCTAAATTTATAATTATATGTTGATATGCATAAATATATTTATATAATATTTATTTATGTAGTTAAAATTTATATTTTTATTCCTTGATAGTAATATTTTTAAAGATAAGATCTATATTTTATTGTTTAAGAAGATGAGGATATGAAATAAACATCTTAAATCAAAAAAGTACTATATGATTTATAAAGACCTTAGATTAAAGAAGATAAAAATCCTAAAGACTTGATTGTATCTTAAAGTTTTATTTTTGGATGTTTATAAAAAAATAAATTAAACTAAGATTATTTACTAATAATAATATATAATTTTTACAAATATCTTATTAAAAAGTCTAATGATAAATTTTGATTTCATAAAATCTACTTTTTAAAGTCTTAGTCTTAGCTTTTTTTTTTGTTCCTTTTGTATTTTTGTATTTTTTTTATTTTTTATTATAAGACTTCTAACCAAGATATATATATATATATATATATATATATATATATATATATATATTTAATTTTTTTTAATATAAGTCTTTATATATTTTTGGCCTTAACATACTAAAGCAAAAAAGAATACATTAACTCTATCAAGTTTATGTAAAGCCTTTGGATCTTCTTTTAAACACATCTTTTTATTAAATAAGATGTAAAGAAGACTAATATATCAACTTAATTACAATACATTACAATTTATGTGGTATTTATAGTTTATTCTATCTTAGACATATTTAATATTAAATAATTTTTATAAATTATGTGGTAAAATATACAATTTTTTTTTATAACTTGAAATCTTACTTATATTATATTTAGAAAAAAATAAAAATGGATTGATAGAATCTCACAAGTTACAATAATTCTTCCTTGCTTTTTGTAATCTAAAGTAAGTTTGTAGTTTAAAGATGTAATTGAAGTAACAAAATCTAATTCTTTTTTATTCTAAAATTTGATTGTTATTATAAAAGATTTTATCTAAGATCAATTGAAAATCATTGGCCTAAACTTAGACCAAAACTAACTAGCTTTCAAGGTGCATAACTTAAATTAAATCCTTCATAATTTGTTTAATATATAAGAAATTTACTCTGTTTTGTTTTGATTTATAACCTTAATAACAATAAAATTTATAAAAAAAATCTATTTAAAATGTATATTTTTTACTCTTTATTAATTTTAAAAATCTTAATAGTTTACAATTTATTTTTTATTTGTTCACAATTAATGTTTTGCAACTTACTTTATATTATGATTTTGGCTTTTATGTTGTAACTATTATTTATAAAAGTTAGATTTTATTCTTGATTAAGATCTCTTTATTTTTTATTATTATCTTGTAATTATAAATTAGTAAAATAGAAATTTTTGTTGTAAATAATATGAAATAAGGAGCCTCATGATTTGACTATTCAACCAAAAAAGATTCATTAATAAAAACTTGTAATTTTGCCAATTGTTTATCATAGTATTATTTTAATGTTTTATCAATGGATATCATTCCAATTACAATGGCATTATTCTTTTCTTTTTATCATTTGAAGAATTGGTAAAATAAAAAATATCAATCGAAATTATATATATATATATATATATATATATGAGAATGATATATATATATATATATATATAATATTATCATCCATTGTAGAATACATTACCAATGTTACATAAAGTGCGTTGTGGTGTGCAATACAAGTTTAGAACAACTTATACTGGCATTAGTAAAAATCATGATGGTATGTGGTTATTGACAAGTTATAGTAGCAGTAGCAAAAATTGTGGTAGCATTAGCAACACTCTTATAAAAAAATAATGAGAAGATTTCTAGATGAAATTATAATAGCAACTTATAATTTGTAAAATACAGATGCAAATATAGAATTGAAATTTCTTATATTTGAATGCTTCTAATAATTATAAAATTATTCACATGTTTAAATTAAAATGAGAAGGATTTTGTATATATTTATTATAGCATGTTATTTATATTTATGCAAAGGTTTTAGAAAAAGTATTGTTCAGCTTTTTGACAACCTTATCAAAGACAAAATGCAGTATGAACATTGCCAAGTTTTCAACAACCAAAAACAAAATGCTATTTATTTCAAGTGATGGCACATATCATGATTTGGTTAATACAACAAGAGATTGTATAACACAACCAAAATTATTATAAGTCACTTTAATTAATTCTAGAATTGTTTCTTCAGTTCATAATAAAAACTAATTTGATATGTAGATTGAGGCTCTAGATTACATTGTTAGTATTATACACTACTTATTCATATAGATTAAATTGATCTTAAAGTTTTTTTCTTGAGTGTGCGTTGAGAATCGTAAAACGGAGAGGTTGCACTTCCTCTAAGCGATAGTCATTTGTTGGTGAGTCCACTTGGATTCGATGAGTTCGGAATTATGGGCATTAGATCACACATTTACATTAAATCTCTGTTCTCCGTTCTGCACGCCGATTCTTGAACATGATAGTTGCAGATAATGACCGTAAGACCATTAAATAAGTGTTAGAAAGCGGATAGAGCTGACAATGGCGTAAAAATGCTATGAGAATCCATTTTACAAATAATCAGGAATTCGGAACACTTTCATGTATCTTGGCAATGACATTTGTCATTGAGAAACGGGATAATTGACCTTAACTTGCCTTTATAATAAATTACCTCACTAAAACCTGTTTGAGAATCAGAGGGTTCAGTCTTGGTCTAATTGTAGCTATAGAAAAACCTGAACGCTCACAAAACGAGCGTACAGGTCTTGTGTGTGAGCGTGCAGGTTTGTACGCTCATAAAACGAGCACTTTCAAAACCTAGAGGACTGGAGATAGCAACACTCGACTTGGTTTGTGTATGAGGCAGAGAACTTGGCTAGTTTGATATATGTATTGCACTCCATCGAAACCGTCGGATTAATCAGTCATTCGAATCCCGCTTATCGGAGCAATCACCTAGCCCCAGCAGGAATCCTGTCTTGCAAATATTGAAGCAATGTTTTTGTTCCCTTCTCCAAAATTGGTCGCCTTATACTGCAAGTAATCAAACATCAAACTCTAAGTCTCTCTTCAAGCACCAGACCTATCCTCGCTGGGATTTTAAGACAGCAAAGAAGAGGACCACAAAAAGATTCGACTTGGACACTTTCTTAAAGCAGCGTGAAAGCCTTGTGATGTAGGCATAATATTATGTAGAATAACAGAAAAATAACTGCAGCTCTAAAAAAAACTTCAAAACCTGTCACTCATGGCATGTGAGTCGCATGGGAAGGATTTGAAGTGAAATACCTTCGCAATGGGTTCCCATCAACCTTCAAATGCTTCAAGGTAGGCTCAAGTAATCCCTGCACCCAAACAACCAGATGTTTGTTGAAACAGTCTAGGTCTCGAACTTGGCGAACTCCTACTCATACGGGAAAGTTGAAACAAAAACTGTACTGTACCAATTTTGGTGGAAGTTGCGAGATGTTGTTGTCAGAGATGTCGAGAGTCTCCAGGCGAGCCAAGCAAGTGACCCACTGCAACATCAACCAGAGCGTCAATATAAAGTTAAGTGTAGCTTACAGAAATGGAATACAGGAGAAGACATTTGCAAATGCATAAGCGTGCCTGATGCAACACTACCCCGACAAAAATAGGTGCTAAACTGTTTTTGAAGTTCACAAGCATTGCAGTGTCAAAGTTGCATTCACAGAAAGCAGCAAAATTAGTAGTACAGAAGTAGTTTTACGATGAACACCTCAGGAATGACACTAATGAAGTTCTGGCTGACATCCAGGATGCGTAATTTCTGCAAGGATTTCAAATCCTCTCGGAAGTCCTGGAGCTGCGCTCGCCTGAAATCCGACTTCCAAACAATCAGAGAAATTGAAAGACTATGGAATCCTGTCTCCTTCACAATAGAAACCTTCGTATCCAAACTTAGTCCTACTTAAGCGGAACTGGAAATATCGTATGTTTATTCAGAAAAAGAAAAAGGACTATGAAAAGACAGCCGGTACAATTGTTTCTGAGTTGGTGTTGTTGGACATACGTTGCATGTCACAATACAGTTTTCAAGTGTACACACAAGGAAGGCTCTACTTACTTCAAACGAAGTTCTTGCAAGTTCGGCATCTCTGCTAATGCTGGAGGAGGAGGCAAGCGGGCTGGAACTCCACTCAAATCTAGCACAGTAAGCTTCGCTACAGCGACAAAGGCACCTTGAGGAAACTGTTACAATAAAAGATGAGCTGCAGTCAGTTAGAACCAACCATGTGTTGTCACGATGACATGGTCAGTGCATCTTAATGCTACAATAATGCTCATGTAATCAACATATGCCAAAATTATGCGCACTCTTCCACAAACCACCAGGGTATAAATACTGTTGCACAAAACTATGTAACAAAGGATGTGTCATATCAAGATAGAAATTGATATAGTTGAAAAGGTTAAGTGTACCTCACGAAAGGGGTTGTAAGCAAGGAGCAGCTCATGGAGGTTCGGTATAGAACCTAGTACTGCACCTGGCCACTCTGAGAACTTGTTGTTTGATAGCATCAAAACCTGGGTGATAAAACAACTAGGAATCTTCATTTTATTCCCGTGCGAATCTCAAAACATCACACTTTCTACTAGGTACGTTTCGAGATGCTGAGAAGATAATCTTACAAACTTGACAATAAATATTTCGATAGCTAGTTTAATGTTGCTCTTTTTAAAGCAACACATGGGATACACTTTGATATCGAACAAATTGATAAGGTGTTTTCGAAGTTATCTCACCTCCAATGCTGAGCACATGGCAAGCTCTGTTGGCAATACTTTGATCTGATTATGAGATAGATCAAGAGTTGTAATATCAGCTCCTTCCCATGCTGCGGGGGGAATCTCTGAAAGATTTTTCTTTGGCAAAGACAGAACCTGGATATATAACACGAAATTATCACCCCCAAAAAGTACATCTTTTACCTTGAAAATTTTCAGAGTCGTTGCTTGAGATGAAAATTTGGTAGAGTTTCATGACAGGTTCAAAGAAGACCCTCCATTGACACAGTACATTTAGAACACATTAATACCTGAGTAGAGTTTGACATAGTAGGTATCAAAATGAATAGGCGGATGCAAAACGTTCATTGGAAAATTAAATCAGTATGAACAATGCGCGGAACTCCATGCCGAAACAAAGAACATAACACTAAAATTTGTATATAAATCTCAAAACAGCCGTGTTATTATTCCAAAGTGCGGTGGTTTTCACAAAAAGAGGACAAACCTTTGAAGCCGTGGCCTGACGAGATGCATGAACGATTTGGTCAGATAGCCCTATGGTGCCAAATACATTTCCTGTAGCTGGGGCCTGCTCATCAGCTTCTGTAAAAGTCGATATTTAACACCTCTAATTAGTAAACACTCCGGCATGGTGAATCCGTTTATCTGGGAGTCAACGTGTGTTTTACACACTTGAAAAAGACCACAAATGCTCATAAAACTTACAATCACAGTCGTATGCAACAAGGTACTTATGTTCGTCTGCATACAGATAAGTACATTGCACCAAGTGATTTCAATGTGGACGTATATATACTAGCCTGCTTCAGCTTCTGTTTGGGGGATTCGAGATTGAAGGTACTTGAGCAAAGCTGGAGTTGGCCCCATGACAAGTGTGCTGCAAGTAGAACATATCACACGCAGCGCTTTAAATGAGAAGGGCAACAAATGCTCGGATACATTGATACTTGAACATGATGCATCAGCTGATAGATCCAACATACACCAAGTGTGAATATGTCATTTGCTTCAGCTTTAGTTCAAGACTGTACCTTCGAAGAGACCGCATTGGATTTCCAACCAGCAGTAGCTTACGTAGAGAAGTCATAGCACCTGCCTCAAAATAATGCAGCAATGTTCAGACATTAAGATAGACGGCAGTCATTTAAGCGAAATAAGATCTCGCTAAAGTGTCACTGCTGCGATAAAATAAAAAGCTGCTCAATACTTCAAATTTATTCAAATAAGACGTGTTCATTGCATGCACATCAAAGGGAAGAGTACAAAACAGCATAGAGCGGACATACCAAGCTCAGCTGGCAAACCAGACAAGTTGTTGTTCGATAAATCCAGGAGTGACAACCGTAATAAGCAAGCCTTTGCCGAGAACTCTGTCAGCTGATATGCACGTGATATAAATGACTACTACCACACAGCATCCGAAAAATTGGTTCATTCGACTCAAAAGTAAAAATTAACAAGAATATGAAGCCGTCTTCCGCATCACATGACCCACATGACTCCATACAAAAGAAGAGACACAACGTATACCTGGTTCGAGTGAAGATCAAGATTGCTCAAGCTCTTAAGAGACCCAATCTCATCAGGAACTACCTTTAGTAAATTGTCTCTGAAACCACAGGTAACTAACAATTAGTAAACTAGGAAAATATTTTGTCGTTTAGGAACAGATGGCAAAAGCTGCTACAGCATGCCAAGCGAGGTCAATCACTTCACCCATCACACCGAGTAACGCATCTCGCCAAGGTTTTAAATAGTGATCTTTTCATACCTAACTAGATGCAAGGGCGACGGTAAACAGTGTTTGATAACGCTTAAACCTAAGAGGTGCTGGAAGGTCAGTAGTGAACACTACATGTGTATATTACGCTCATTGTATGTCACTCCAATACAAAAGAAAATATCTCCTGACTAATATAGCATTTCGACTAGATCCATACCCCAGATAAAGCTCCATTAAGGCTACACAGCCAGCAATTGTTGGTGGAAGGTAAGTGAGGCCTACGACAAAGCAACATGAAGCATTACTTATATACTCTTCTCACGTACAGAGGATGTTCAAGAAAGAAACGGAACAAAATGGAAGTAAAATGAGTCTACCCGCAATATCCACAAACAATTAGACAAGAATACAAATTGCCCACTCTGCTTCTGTAGTGGGATACATACGGTTCTGATGAAGATCAAGGCGAATAAGCTTAGAAAGTCTTCCCAAGGAATTAGGCAACGCTGTAAGTGAATTTCTTCCTGCGTACAGGAGGTCAAAAAATACGTTGAATGCAGAGTATCAACATAAAAACATAACAGAATCCCTCAAAGACTTATGATCAAAATTTCAAACTTGAAATCTTATTGTGAAGCAAGCACAAGCAAATGAAACAAAAAGGTGAAAGTAAGAAGTCAAGAAACAACAAAGATGTCTAGATACAAAGCAGATTCCGTCTATTGATACTATTTGCAGAGAGTGACATAAATCCTCACATATTATTTTCATCCATAGGGACTTACCTGCAATTAATTCAGTTAAACCTGAGAGGGCGCTGAATAAGCTCTCAGATAGCTCACTGAGGCGATTGCTCTGTTACACCACCATTGTCTATAGTCAATAAACTAGCCTGACAAACTTGAAGAGAACCTCAAGAACTCAGTTTCTCTAAGATTTGACACTCTTGTGTTAGCAACTAATGCAAACGTAAAAGCATATCCATAATGAAACACAAAAGCATAACTATATGAGCATTACTTCACATCCATAAATACTATTAGAAAAAAACGGCAATCAGCAATAATGGTAGCAAAAAATAATCTGTACAATGCTTCATGCCTCAATATTGAGCGTGGAAAGTTTTGAGCAGTTCCCTAGTTCCTCCGGAAGTGTCACCAGCAAATTGTTGTGAGCCTGACAAAATGTCAAAATAAAACCTGTCATTTAAGCTTGCCTAGGTCCTATTGCAGACCACGAGTCCAGAGAGTGAAGAAACTTATCAAGAAAGTTCAACAACAATGATATCATTCAATAAGATGAATGCTATCCAGGCATGTAAATGTCTTACACGATCAAACAGTGTGTAACTTTCAAAAACCCAGTCAAAGATGATTTCGACAGTGTGACAATCAAAAATCAAAACGTAGCAACATTAACCATGACAGATAGACCAATTGGAATAGTATCGCACCTTGAGATCAACCAACTCGGTGCAATTGCCAAGGCTACTGGAAAGCTTTGATAAGGAGTTGCTTGCACAATTCAGTCTATCACAACAGAGAGCAATACGTCAGTGAGCTCCAGCTTTACCAACTTAAGCAACATTAAGACGAGCATTCGATCTTAAACTTTTCCTATGAAGATACACACGCAGTTTAAGGATCCTAATGAAGCACATTAACATGAACCTCCAAGAAATTGAAGTGATTGAAAGAGCATACCTGACTAGAGCGGTCAGAAACCCTAGCTCGGAAGGCAGCTCAACAACAGAATTCCCAGAAATATCAAGAATCTTCAGCAGTGAGAGACTACCCAGCACGACACCCAATGTGTAAGAAACTTTACCACTTAGAAGATAATAAACGAATGAGACGGAAACAAAGAGTCAAATAAAACGTACTTGCCGATGGCTGGAGGGAGAAATGATAGCTGGTTATGACTCAGATTCAGAAAAGTGAGAGAACCAATGTCCCCCAATCGATCAGATATGGCTGCTATACTGTTGTGGGATATGTCCAGCTTGTGAATCTCTACCACCTAGCATCGAACAATGTATTGACCAACCCCATAACAACTTATGTCAGGGTCCGAACCCTAATTCATCGAAAAAAACCTAAATGCTTTCTAAATGATCCACAACCAAGAGCCCAAAATTGGCCCAAAATGCTTACTAAATGGTCCACAACCAGGATCTTCCAGAGAACATCTTGAATCATCAAAATTAAATTTTCTTTCAGAACCTGAACGCTACTGAAATTGCCTTGTTATCATCGTAAGGGTCAAAGTTCGAGGCAGCAGCATTGAAAAAACAACAAAATTTCAAGGCATAGTCATACCTCCCACCACTTTTCTTCGGATCCACCTTCATTCAGCAAATTGTACACTCGGGGAGGAACCTCTCTGTCAACAAGAGCACGAATGACAACCTTGAATATATCGACAAATAACTTCTATATCTTGCGCTTGGTACTCTGACCTTCAATGGGAACTTATACTACATCTTTATCCTCAAATGAATTAGAATTTAAATTTCCTAAAAATCCCGCTTCACTTTTTTCCATCTATCAAGCTATTAATGATAATATTTCTGCTTTCAAGGTTTAGCCAAACCTCAAAACCATCAAATTGTCAGCTACTGCATTCCAAATTCAAGGACGGTGCCACTTCTAAGACATCAATGCCATCGTAACCATCGCGACTGGTCACCCTAAAGCATCCAGAACCCGCATCGATTCAATCATCTACTCGTCACAGATTCGAAATACGATACTGAGAAAATGCGCTTGCTTGCAACAACTGAAAGTTTGTAATTCCTACATAAACACCAATGTTCTTGAAGAAAGCGTCGCTCCTTCAGTCCAAGTGTTACCCAATGTTTAATTTCAGTGACATATAAACCATCGTTCCAGCCATTTACGATACACACTTCTTGACTGAGTCAGCTCAATCTACAGAACAGGAGCAAATCTTGAAAAATAATAGAGGGTTCATTGACCATCGATACTAACCCCTTCAATCTCAGAACTACCATGTAGTCTAGGAACTAGGCAATCGAATCGATCCACGAACAAGAGGAAAAAGTTGGTTGCAATCGAAATTTCTTGCATAACTGAACCCTCAATGAAACCGAGGCGCGGATATTGACTCCATTACTTTCACAATCTTATGTCGCAACTCATAGAGCTCACCAAAATTTTAGCTAATTCCAAACAGTCCTAAACTGAGGCGAAAAATACATGATGCACCCAAACAGGCGCGAGGGCGAATAGGGAACAACCCCGATACTATTCACCTTTTTCAAAAAACATGTTCCCTAGCGACCATTCCCACTGACCAAAAGCTAATCCAGTGCGGATCGGGCAAGCAACGAATGCGTTTGAGGGATAAGACTTACGCGAGACCACGATTGGAAAGGTTGAGCGATCCGGAAGACTTGGCGGCCTTGATCAGCCTCTCGATTCCTCCCATGGGATCCATCCTTCATTCCACCGAAGCCCTCCTTCTAGTGCTGAATCCAGCCCTCCCCCCACACCCCCAGTTGACAAGCTCTCTCTCCTCAACTAAACAGGCACCCAAATGTGACCCAATGACGTTTAGAAACAACGCAAAAAAAACGATGTGGGTGAGTGGATCCACGCAACTACTCTCATAAGCTTCAGCTAGCAACGGAGACTGTTGAGAATCCAAGCAATCAAGCCTGCGCGCATGCATTTCCTTGGCAAAGAGAAGGAGATGAGAAGAGGAGGGTGGTGGTGGTCCATCCCCATCGACGTTGGCTGGCCTGCCGAGGAATCAATCCCTCAGTGCCCCATGAACGAATGAACCTTTTGGATGACTCACCTCGTCGATCTCTCTTTTTCATCTACGGGTTCAGGGGTCGGAAAATGTCCTCGTGTGAAGATGGCCCCGTTCACACTGCTGGAGCTTGTCACGCACGGTGACCGGATACCGTGAGCAAGGATACATTAAAACCCTGCCCATTTGCTTTCAGTAGTTTGTCATGAAATGATATTTTGTAGATATTATGTTTTGTTAATAGGGTATTATGTCTCCTGTAACTTTGCAATCACCCTGGTATCTATTAGTTTATAGTGCCAAAATACACATTAATGGGTTACCATATTTCAATTTAAAGAAAATACTATACTTTGATATTACTTGAACATGTGTGTAAATTTTGACCTTGTTGTGATGTTAAGAATAAAAAATTAAAAAAAAAAAAAAAAAAAACATTGGCTTTATCCCCTTCTTTTATCTATATTCTTTTTTTGGAAAAAATAAAACAAAAATCTTAAGCTAATATGGTTAGGATTTTATAACATTCACAACCAACTAAATTAAACATCTACATTCAAAATTTTGATACTATTTAGCAGTTGCTATGCATTTTTTTTAAATATTGACTCCCTTGTGTAGCTACCCTACCCCTTGTAGACATCCAAAGGAAAAAACATTGGTAAGTAATAATGCAAAAAAATTATATCCTTTTAGTTTTGTTTCTCAATGCATCATTTTGTTCTGCATGTAAAGAACAAAATACAAAATTTTTACAATAGCTATATTTTGGTTATTATAATATAATTTTAAATATCTAATTTTCTCACTAATGTAATTACTACATATGTAAATTGTATCTATTTTAACATTTTAACATTGTAAATTTTCAAGTTTCATTACTTAAGAAATAAGTGTCTTGTATTTTCAAAACTGTCTAATTTTTAAACACGCATATATCTTGTCACATATGATATAAGATCTATGTGTGATTATTTTTACACAACTGTTGTTTCTTGAACTTAGAAGAAGAATCATGCATAGCATAGTCTAAATTCTCATCTTCTATTATTAATAAAAAAATATATTGCGATTATTATAAAATTGTGCCAAGTTTATTCTATTGTGAATATAAAAAAACATAGTCATATTATAGAAATTTACTTCTGTGCAAATACTAGATATTGTTAAGCCAAAAAACTACCAATATTAAAATAAATAGATACATGACCAAATGATACACAACTTGCAAGTTATATAAATATAAAATGAACTTCAAAATTCAACCAAACAACCTCTTCTACTTCTTCTTAGTCATATGTATAATATTTACTTGTTTCCTAACTATTAGATGACACCACCCATTACATTGGCTATTAGTATGAATTTTGCAATGCATAAAGTATATATTTGGTATTATTCAAGAATATAACCTATTTATTTCACTTACTAACTTGCTTGACTTTTTCCCAAGCCCAATTTTTTTCCTACATACATTTTTAGTACAAAATATCTCACAAGATTAACTGTGGCTCAAATTCACACAAAATTCCTTTTGCTTAACACTTCTGCTTGGCAAGTGACAAGGACCACGTTATAATGACAAAATGATTTGATCAATTGACATAGCTTCACCAAGTAAATGTTTGACTACAGGGGAATTTATAAAATAATCAAGAGACAATTTTTCTCGTCTCTTTTAATCATAGTTGCATGTAGAGCATTTTTGGGGTTCCTAAGTGGACAAAGTAATGATTGGCAATTGCTAACCTCACCTTGTTGAGGATATAAGAATTGTTCTCGATTCGTGCAAAAGCTGCCTGCTCAGCAAAGGGAAACAGGGTTGGTCTAAATTACACCTTACTTCATCGACAATAGATAACGAAGAGGAGCGTGAAAAGTACCTACGAGAGAGATGATGTGTTCGCACTAACTAAAGAGGTAGTTACAAAAGCAAAACAGACAGTTGTGTAAACAGGGGGGCTGAAACATGCCTGAAAAACCAGGCAGTTGCATCAAAAGAGGAGGTAATCACCTAAATCAGAGGTGATGTTCATGGAGGCTAACCATTCAGTGTTAAAAAAGGGAATGCCTACCGATGGACTTACGATAAAGGTGGGCGGACTTTACATTCGCTGTTCTTGCCTGATAACATTTGTGTGGTTGATGCCAAATTACCAGCATTAATGTCCTCATTCCAACAAACTTGGGTATAATGTAAAGATCATACCCATGTGCCACCGAAATCCTTAACCGATCCTTCTCTCATTGAATCATATATTCCATTCTCAAACAGCCTTAACAAGTTGGATTATGACAAATCCAAAAGTATTTTCCACTAAAAAGGACTCAGCCAAAAAAGATAATACCTTCGCAGGAGTACCCTTAGAGAGGGAACACAAGCTAGCAAACAGGGACTCCATGAGCTAACCCAAGACTTAAACAATTAACTTTGAGAAAAGCACCTGCACCGGGCTTTAAACGCTAGACCATTAGACAGGCTGATGGTGTAATTTGGTGAGGCTCATATTTGAAGCAAGGTGCAAGTACAGAGGGTTGCAGCAGTCCAAGCCCCCAAATACAGAACTCCTAGATTCTCTCTTATGACAGAGGGATTTACATTCGGTCTTCCCGTTGTCTAGGTGCGCACTTAATGATCTCGTCTACACGAAGGATCATCTCCGAAGCTTCTGTAGCAGACATTAAAACCGCCTGCTTCACCTTAAATGCCTCGTAAATGCCAAGCTTCTCCATGTCTCCAACCTACAGAGAAGATACGAGAACCCTTTAATATTACTTTAATGGTCGAGCGCAGCAGTACTTTGAACACTTTCAACGGAAGATATCAACAAAAGTATGCAGTAAATTCTTGTCATGTACCTCTCCAGAAATGACATCAATGCCGGATCTGCAACCATCCTCTGAATGAGCCGCACGTAATTGAGAGACTAAATCTGCACTATCCAATCCCGCATTATCAGCAATAGTGGTGGGAATGGCTCGCAATGCAGTTGCAAAAGCATCGATAGCAAGCGACTTCTTCCCCGGGGTTTTACGCGCAAGTTCCTCCACACGCCTAGCCATCAAAAATTCTGGCCACCCTCCACCCCAGATAACGCGGCTATCTTGAACTGTTTGAACCAGTACGCAGAGAGCGTCATGGAGAGACCGCTCAGCTTCATCTAGCACATGTGAACTGTAAAGACAACGAAAAACAGTAATGAACATTGTCATGATAAATTCACACTGAACAGCTCGAAGTTCCAGATGGAATTATAAAACTGGTAAAAGGCAGGTAAAACACATAAATACTTATGTAAAGGAATTCATGTCAAGAAATTCATAGAACAAAAAGCAGGAGAGCATGCATCCAAACGGTACAATAAACATGCACATGTATCATTCCATCGTAGGACTTCCTGAGCAGTAATATATATTCCAGAACTCCAAGTGATAATGCACATAAGATAGATGTGGCGATACAGACCTGGCGCCACGAAGAACAATGGTACAAGCTTGGCCCAATGCAACACCTGAAAAATGGATAAGTCTATCTTCCCCAATCATGATCTCTTCGATCAACTTACAATGTCCAAGCTTCACATTCTCGGGATCATTGAATGTTGAAGTAATTTCTCCTCCTGTTACAAGAGCCAAGCGTTCTATTCCATCGAAGTCGGCATGTTCGATAGCCATGACCCCTGCATCTGCGAAGAGCTCCTCCGGGAAATTATAAATGAGCTGTCTATTGACAAAACAATTGATGCCATGTCCTATGATCTTTTCAACCTTATTTTTCATTTTGTTTTTTTCAGCTGCCTCAATCTCCGCCACCTTCGTCATACCATCCACCCGCACCCGTGCCCCATAGATTTTGACCTTGTCGGTATCCATGGCTGTGTTAGCCACAAGAATTTTAGCATTTTCAATGCGTTTCGGTTGACCAACTCCGATCTTCTTATCTAGAATGAACCTGCAACTCAAGGGCACCAAATCCAATTACAAACCGAAGCAACACAATATGAAAGCTGATAAATGAAAGCTTCTCAGATTCATTCACATAAAATCTGATTCAGCAACCTACCCTTCATCTAAAAAGGAATCCTTCAAAGCTCCACCACACTTCTTGATGATTTGGATAGACTCTAAATTAGAGCTGCCCTGCATACATCGATAATCATTTACTTCAGCAAATATAATCAAAAAAGGCGGTTGAAGGACAGTCGACAGAAATGTTAAAAGCAGTACGGCAACAACAGAACATGATAAACGAAGATAAAGTATCAATTTTCTACAACTCAAAACAAAAGTCTGGATGAACTAAAGAGGGAGGGGGGGATCTCTACTCCAGTGAGTAGGTGCAGAGCATTTGCAGAAGAGGACGTTTACAGACGCATACGTACCTTAAGTCTAAGAACAGCATCGACAGCAAGATTAGAGAAGTGCACTTTATCCTGTGATAAAATCTTAGAGCTGAGTGTCGTCATGGCAATGTTGACAAGGTCTGATCTGAATCGCTCTGCAACACCATAAACATTTCTGGATTTTACCAAGTATTCTTCCGAAAATCCAACACTTACAACTGCTTTACTGCGTAAAAAATTACATTAATTTATGTTGTAAAACTAAAAACGTCCAAGTAAAGTATATGATGGATGGAAGTTGGAGTATCTTGAAATACCTAAATCATCTTTGTTATCACGAACAGCAGCTTCTAATGCACTACGAGCAGCCTCAGCAGCCATGCGATATCCTGCACCAACCAAATCAAATATCCCCAGTAGAATAAGAATCATAGTGATCGACATTCATTTACATGCGACGAACAAACAACGTATCTTATACAAAAATTATAACCAGTACAACACTCAGTCAGAGCAAATAACTCGTGGAAAAGTTATTCAAGACACTACAAACCAGCGATAATAGTCATTGGGTGAATCTTCAGAGCAACCAGCTTCTCCGCCTCTCTTAGCAACTCTCCAGCCAACACTACTACAGATGTTGTGCCATCTCCAACCTCATCATCTTGCACCTTAGAAATATCTGTCAAACAAGGGCGGGGAGCACAGTCCCCAATTGTGTCAACCATTAAACTTACACTGGCATATGATCAGCAAAAATGCTTACTGTGGACTGTTTTAAGCCAAAACTACCAAAATCAAGATAAATGTCTCATCTTCAAAACTACTTGTAATATGTTTAAAATCCAGTAAATTGTTGCATTCGTAGATAGTTTAAGTTAGAAATTTTTCCCGATCAAAACAGTTATTGTTGCAACACTCACAACGCATGCTTCGTAACATTGCCGAAGAGCACGAGAGCACAAATTTCTTAAAACCACCTCAGAATATGTAACCAAATGAGCATATACTCTGTTCTTAGCTGAATTGAGGGAAAGTCTGCTGAAGGCGTGACTTACCAACAAGGACTTTGGCAGCTGGATTATCAACATGTAGCGACTTCAATATAGTGGCACCATCATTGGTAACTGTGACACTATGGCCACGACCGGTAGATTGAAGGATTTTGTCCTGAAAAAGTATGCATGAACGGTCCTTTCTTAAAATAGATGATGACAGAAAGCTTCAAACCAGATAATATCCAAGACATCCTTTACAATTCAGAATATTTGAATGTGATGAAAACCAAATCTCATTAAAGTGGGACATTAAAGGAAGACATTACCGAGAAAACAAACCACCCGGAAACTACCCAAAAAAACTAATACTTTATAGTATAAGAAGACATGAGGAAAAAACGAAATTATCATCCAGAAACTTGCCGTAAACAAGAACTGTGTCTTAATCCATGATGAACTTCATTTCAAAATGCACCCACAAATAACATGATTAGAATAAAGGAATGCTCACCATTCCTTTAGGACCAAGAGTACTTTTGACAAGGTCTGCTATTGCCATTGCACCAATAAAGGAGGCCTGCAAGAAATATTCAAAAAACAAAATCACCAAAAGTTCGCGATTATTTTCCAGGAAAATCAAATCTCACGGTCTCAGAAAGCTATGAAAGAAATGTAAGAGATGCTGAAAAAAAAAGATAGCCTAAGAGGTCCAACATACCATCCTAGCACGCTCGCCTTTCTCTTCCATCGCATCGGGCTTGAACAACTCCCCCTGCGAAGCATTGAAATATGCCAGAGATTTAGTTACACTTGGATTCCATTGCCTGGGAAGCGCAGAAACTTTTGACAATATAAAAACTAGATCTGTCCGTTGCTTGACTACACGAAAACACCAAGTTGATTCCTAATCAACAAGTATCTTAAAAATGAGACGGTATGAAGCCTTCGATAACAAGGTCACGCAAATAATCTATAGGATGGGCCTCAAGAAAAAAGTAGTTAAGTTACAGGTGTATGATACAATGTACGAGTTGTCTACAGCACTGGACATTCAGCCAGTCGAAGTTAAGGTACAACAAGTACAACAAACCCTCTTTCCAAGAAAAACCGTTTGTTGCATATACAGACATTTCTAAAGGAACGTTATTCGTGACACAAATGACGAAAACCATTTCAGACGACCCTAAAGCTCTTACATTGCATCGGTAGTGAGATGCGCACAGAACTCAAAAAAGCAAAATGACAAAAAGTAATGCACCCTGCAAATGCCTTCTTTTCAATCGCGGACGCAAGTGCCCTGTGGACTGTCTTACATGGTCGCAGATCCTTCAGCAATAGCAGAACACGCAACCCCCCCCCAAATATTGTGGAAAACAAACAAAACAAACCTAAAAAGTAAAAAATGGGAGCAAATTGAAGAATATGCAGTTACGCTCCGACGTAGTACTTCAAGACTCGCAACTACAGGTCTAAGTCAGACACACGACCTACAAGAACATCCGGACCCCCACAAATCTGAGGCGCAATACAACCAACCTCACGCTACCTCCCAATCGCTCCCGGCTCAAACATACATCACCCCTCGAAAATCCAGCACATTCAAGAACCAACGACGAAACCAGCATTCCAGTTTCGGAAAACGCTCTACCGATCTCAACCAAGCACCAATACCACTTCGCCACCCGAAACGCAAATCGTCACAACGACCTCTACACTGAAGTTCAAAAGACCCACACCCCTGAACCCTAATCTGAACACCAGAGACACAATAGAAGGTGGAGAAAGAGCGGTACCGTGGTCGCCATTATTGGAGAAAGCGGGGTAGGGAGGGATCAAGGAAACACAGACAGACAAATAGAGTGGCTCCCTGCGATGCTTGCGATGCTTGCAATGCTTCGGTTGTGGTTGGAGAGATCCTGACACAACACAAGGCCAAGCAAAGCAAATGGGGCGCAAATACAAGCAAGAGCTACGCTGCACTGCGAGAGCTGCACACGCAGTGTCCAGTCGCCTTGCTGGGCCGTTTTATCATTCATCCTTTTTGTGAATATTTCATCCATCGGGGTTCTGTCCGCCTGACACTGGGTTTTAGGTTTTAGGTTCCCTGGACTCTTTAACATGGCTAATACTGTCTTCCTTCGTGTGCATTTACTTCACTTGCTTTTCCCTTTGACATATGTCTAGTTTGACCTAATTTTTTGGTATTTGCAGAAACCCTTTATTGTGGTGTGAAATTCCTTCACATGGCAATTAATGTTCATTCTTTTTTCTATGGTTTTGGAGGAAGAAAGAAAGAGGGAAAAACCCAATATTTATTTCTAAAATAAGAAGAGAATAGTGGACAATGGTGAGAATATGATAACAATGGTTTCAATGAAGCTAAACAGTGTAATGGTTGAAAATTGTCAAATTGAATGTGTTTTGAAACTTTGTCAAGAAAAAAATGGATTGTTTATTAAAGCACACACTGAAATGACATTGTCCCATTATAACCAGCAATTTGCAAATGTTTTCCCTGCATTCTTAATACGAGGGAGGAATTGACTATTTAAGTTAAAATTTATTCTTAAAATTCTAAATCTTTCTTTAGATTGGATACAATGTATTTTTTGCAACTTGGTGATTGTTGTCTTAGTGTTCAATCCATTGTTGCCTCAAGATGCCATAAGATTTAAAAAAGTGAGCTGAGAACCATTGCAAATTGGAATTAAAATTATTTCAAAATAAATAATATTGATTGTATATATATATATATATATGCACATATATTTATATATTCATTATATTCATTAAATATATGCACACTTACATATAAATAATAGAAAAGAATCCTTTTTTCTTTAAGATTATATGATAAAATCTACAAACATTTCCAAAAGTTACTTATAATTTCTAAATCAAAAAATATATTAAATACATTAATTTTTTTTAAAAATGGTTCAAAAAAAATTAATGTAAAGCATTGTTTGTCTTATCCTTGAATCGAAATCATTGTATATAAGTTGTGAAAAAATGCAGTTATAATTTAAAAAAAAAAAAAAAAAAAAAAAAAAAAGTTCACTACTGCAGAATTTCAATTGTAAAATAGAAAATCTAAAACAATCATATGCAACATACAATACAAATGAGTATTTAGAAAAAATATTTAATACCTTGATCTGATATACTTATTCAAACACAAATATGTTTGATATTTGTATTTAGAGTTCATAAGGGATCAAAATACAATATCAGATTTTCTTCAAGATTAAATTTTTACAACGAGCACCTAAACTGATCACAGAATAAATTCCAACACGACAATTTCGTCCAGAAGACAAAAAAGAAAAAGAAAAACGGTGAAGCCATCGGATATTTTTTCAAATTGTACAGCAGACATTGAAATGCAATACAATGAAAAAATTATTGTGAATGTTTCTATTGTATATATTTTCTCATATTTATACTATTACAATTATAAAAGAATCAAGAATTGAGTTTTCTATATACAGTGACAAACAAAACCGAGTACAAAATCTGAACACTCATAGTTCATTAATCCTTCCAACTGACACATAAGTCAATTGATAGAATTACTTTTTTATTGTGTGTATTCATCCAATCCTCTACATGGATGAAAAATCTCATTATCATTTGAGGTAGGATTTATGAGAAAAGTGTTGTAGAAGCACACAGACGTGCGTACTCAGTTTTGGTTGCTTCTTCTTGCTGAATTTCGAAATTTCAATGTACACTCCTTGTTGCAAGATTTGAGGGCATTTTTTGTTTGTTGTGTTGCTCTTGTTGTGTACTATCTATAGTGAAAGTTGATTTGTCAATTGTATCTCTATGCCTCGGTTGTGTGAATCATTGAAGCACCAAGCATTGGTGCAGCTTAGGAGTGGTGTTTCTACAAGAAAAGTTGCAGTCTCACTTGGAATGAGTTAGTCTTCAGTAGCTCATCTGAGGAGGGAGATTAGTGGTGAAATAGAAAAGCAAAGAGGAGGACATCCAAAGGTTTTAGGAGAGTAAGAGGAGCGACTTGGTGTGCACCTTGTCACTGCTGGTTGTCTCAAAACGGCAAGTACAGCTGCAAAACAACTTCGAGAAAAAACAGGTAAACACTTCTCAGACATCACCTTGAGGCATGGTTTGAGAGAAGCTGGTTTGGGTGCTTGTGTGCAACAAAAGAAGCCTCTACTTGCCAAAAGACATGTTCTTGCAAGGTTGAGTTTTGCTCATAAATACAAAAATTGGACCGTTGATGATTGGAGACGGGTTATTTTCAGTGATGAGACAAAGATTAACCTAATCAACTCAGATGGTAGGTCTTGGTGTTGGTTGAGAGAAAGAGAACGACCTGGACCTAAACATGTTAGTCAAACTGTCAAATATGGTGGTGGTTCAATTATGATTTGGGGTTGTATGACTGCTTTTGGGTCGGGTGCTTGGTATCAAATTGAAGGTAGAATGGAGCAACACTTGTACAAAAAAATTTTAGAAACCTACTTGCAAAGTACCACACAGAATTACAACTTAGATCCTACTAAGGTGGTTTTTCAACATGATAATGATCCCAAACATACGGCAAAAAGTGTTCAGTTTTGGCTCTCTTCACAGCCATTTCAGCTCCTTCGATGGCGAGCTCAATCTCCAAATTTGAATCCAATGGAACATTTTTGGGCCCTTCTCAAACAGCGTTTAAGCCAAGTCACTCCAATGCCAAGAGGTGTTCAAGAATTGTGGGAGAATGTTTGTAGTATTTACCCTAGTTTTGATGCAAAAGATTGTGAGAAACTATACAAAAGTATGCCAAGAAGGATTTCAGCTATTTTGGAAGCAAAAGGTTATTGGACTAAATATTGAAGTTTGAAGATTTTCTTTGAACAATACTGAGTATAAGACATAGTTGTTGATTTAACTTTGTAGAAGGATGTTTAGTTATCAATTTGATGTGCAACTTTGTACATGTGTACAAGACTGTGTGTATTATTCCATGTAACTTTCAGATTTATAAAGCAATCATTGAAATTTCTGTAATTGCTCTTGAAAATTGGCACTTCAAATTTTGTACTCGGTTTTGTTTGTCACTGTATACTTTTATTGAATGCAAAAAACTTGAACACAACTGGGCGAGCGCAAGCCACTACCGAAGGGACTTGAAATCACGGGTTTAAATCACGGTTGGGCAGAGAAATCAAGGGCCGGGTGGGGAGACCCGGCCCATCTTATCCACCTCCTCTTCTTCCATGTGAGTAAGTTGTGCTTCGACATGCCTCAGCGACGTTGTTTTCAAGCCTCGCAGCAGCACAGCAGCTATGGCGTCTCCATCTCTTCACGTGGGGATTGGGACTCGACGGCCAGGCTGCTGCAACAGGACCATCGGGCCTATTCATTATGATTCGAAATTTTCCGGAGCGTACAAAATGGGGTTGCGGGGCGGACCAGCAGGACGCGTCGGGAATTTCTGTGATCAAGGAAGGCTGCGAGTGCGGTGCAGTGGTGGTGCTGAGGACAATGATAATGGGAGGAGTAGTGTAGAAAAGTCGGGGGCGGGGAAGTCGTGGGTGAGTCCCGACTGGCTCACCAAGATAGTGAGCCTTGGAAAAGGGCCGGATACATCTGGGATTCCTGTGGCGGATGCGAAGCTCGAGGATGTGAAGGACTTGCTCGGGGGTGCATTGTTCCTGCCGCTCTTTAAATGGATGATGGAAAATGGACCCGTGTACAGGCTCGCAGCCGGGCCGCGCAATTTCGTGATAGTCGGGGATCCTGCTGTGGCTAAGCATGTTTTGAAAGGGTATGGGACGAAATACTCCAAGGGGTTGGTGGCTGAGGTTTCCGAATTTCTCTTCGGGTCGGGATTCGCCATTGCTGAAGACCAATTGTGGACGGTCTGCTATCCATTCATGTTATTTCGCGCTTTTCGCCGGTTGTATTAGGCGTCATTGAAACAGGCAGTGTCTGATACGAAGCATTCTCTCTCTCGTCCTCGTAGAATCTTATGTTGCTGGTGTTATTTTGCGGTCTGCATAATGTCTTGGTTGATCAATGTGAAAATATTGTGTAGGCTCGGCGACGGGCGGTTGTTCCATCACTTCACAAAAAGTATTTGTCGACAATGGTGGACCGCGTCTTCTGCAGATGCTCGGATGCGCTGGTTGCCAAGCTTGAGAAAGTTGTTGCATCAGGGGCCCCTGTGAACATGGAAGCACAAATGTCGCAGCTGACGCTGGACATCATTGGGCTTTCTGTCTTCAATTACGAATTTGATTCTCTCAAAACTGACAGCCCTGTCATTGATGCGGTTTACACTGCCTTGAAGGAAACTGAGTCTAGGTCTACAGATATATTGCCCTACTGGCAGGTTGGAAATTTTCTATGTCTTCGCATTTTCACGTGCCATTGATTTTCTGGCAAATGATTATCAATCTTCGAAGTCTTTTTCGAGTTACGTAGGTGTATCCAACGTCTAGAATTTACACAAAGTTTGTAGCTAGGTCATAGATGCTGCCAATCGTGGTTATATTCGGTAATAAGTTAGTTTGCAGAGGATTTTTTCATAGGGTTAGCATGAAGCTTGAATCATTTTGTTGTCGTGGCGACACTGATACATATTTTAAATTTTTACCTATGAATGGATGCAGATTCCCCTGCTATGCAAAATTGTACCTAGGCAACAGAAAGCTGCTAAAGCTGTAGAAATTATTAGGGAGACTGTCGAGAAGCTGGTAGCTCAATGCAAAGAGATGGTGGAGGCCGAAAAGGAGACAATTGAAGGAGAGGAGTATGTGAATGAGTCAGATCCCAGTGTTCTACGGTTCTTGCTGGCAAGCAGAGAAGAGGTAATGATTCACAAGCGGCTAGATGGGGTTACGCAATTTTATAAATGACATGTCATTGTTGATGTTAGAATCTATATTGTTCTGCAATTGATTTGAAATATTTCGTTGTTTCACTTATCATACAGATGATAAGATTTGGCTGAATGTTCAGACCATGAGATGGACGAGTATGCACTAGCTGAGTTTTGTCATTCGGGTGCAGGTATCTAGTGTGCAACTTCGAGATGACTTACTATCGATGCTTGTAGCTGGCCATGAAACCACAGGTTCTGTGTTGACATGGACTGTATACCTTCTGAGCAAGGTAAACTCTCTGCCTTCCTTGTTTTAACTAATCTTTCAAGTCCTGTATGAAGTCAGCGGTGATTTAGTACTCCATCGTTACTTCTGTATATTCTGTGCATGTATATGGTTGCTGCTCAAGATAGTCCCTAAAGCACATAATGCTGCACCAGGTTGGTTTAGTTCAGAATTTTATGTAAAGATTCAGAGTGTCCGAAGTCTTCTAATTATTATTTCTTTATTATACTTTCTGGCATTTTGTAGCACAACTTAAAGGGCAAGTGTGTATTTACAGAACCCAGCCGCATTAGCAAAGGTGCATGAGGAACTTGACCGAGTCTTGGCAGGAAGAAAGCCACAATTTGCTGACATAAAGGAATTGAAGTATTTAACGCGCTGCATTAACGAGTCCATGCGCATCTACCCACATCCTCCGGTACGTGATCTACTGATTTGACCACTGTCAGCCTAATCCAAAGTATCATGCATTTTTAGAACTACTAATTTTGCATTCACATCTAAACCATGTTCGTGTAGCAATCTGTGCATTTTTAATGAATCAATATACCGTCTTTTAAGAAAATCTAGATCTTCGAATATCGCAAAATCCATGTGTTAAAATTCTTCGCCTAGGACCCTTAGATATTATTGATCGTCCTCTCAAGATTTCAGGTTAAATTCCTACTTTTTATCCGTTTTTTCAACTTCAAAATCGAGAGATACTGGCAATTGAAAGATGTTTGACTGCAGGTTTTGCTACGAAGAGCTAGGGTGGCAGATGAACTACCTGGAGGTTACAAGATTGAAGCAGGGCAAGACGTAATGATATCTGTGTATAACATTCATCACTCCCCCCAGGTTTGGGACAATGCAGAAGAGTTTGTACCGGAACGGTTTGACGTTGATGGACCTGTGCCTAATGAAACCAATACAGACTTCAAGTATGCGATCCTCATGCTCTTAGTACCAATGCCTTCTTGCTTTGTTTGCTTGTTTATTTGTTATGGTAATCTTATGAAAGGTGCCCTTTTGAAACCGACTGCTCAAATGAGTTAATTAAAAGGGTTTTCTCGCAAGACAAACCTCTAAATAGGTTCTGGATGGTGTTCGTAGATATATTCCATTCAGCGGAGGGCCTCGCAAATGTGTTGGTGATCAATTTGCTATGCTGGAAGCTACGGTCGCATTGGCAGTGCTTCTGCAGAGGTTCAAGTTTGACTTGGTTCCCAACCAGACAATTGGAATGACAACTGGCGCCACTATTCACACTACCACGGTAAATTGCTAATACATTAATTTGGATCTTTTACTATCGGGCAGTGCGTAAACCTGAAATGGGTGTTTTGCCATTCTTTGTAGCTTATTTCTGGGAACCTGGCGAAAGTAAAAAGATTTGCATACATGTAGATATAATGTCGAGAGTTTCTGACTTTGTTTTGTGTGCGCGTGCCAGGGACTATACATGACAGTTACCGATCGACAACAGACGAAAGTTCCCGACCTAGTCGTTGCCTAATCACACGTGATCATTGCTTTTTATTTAGTTTTCTGTATACTAAAAGTCTTTGCCAAAAGGACGATCGTTACTAAGGGATTCGTAACCCAAGTAAATCAGTTCAGCAGGTAGAGAGGATGAATATGCCGTATCAAGAGGACGAATAGTCTCAGTTTTCTAGCTATTCTTAACGACACAATTGTTATAGGAAAAGTTTTGTGGAAACTTTGGTTGAACGATTTCAATAATCCTGCGTATTTAACCAATCATGGTAGTGATAATGCTCACTTCTTAGCTTGAGCTTTGAGGGGCGTAATCCTCGGTAGCGATTCAACCATACTGACTTGTGTTGCGAAAGTTTTTTCTCTTCCTGAGATTAAAAGTGACTTGCTGGACTTCAATCAAAAAGGCAGATTATGACTGGGCTTCGCAAATTCTTTTGCACCAAAATATGATTGTTGACCTTCATTTCTATGCACTTCTTATTTTGTACGACACTGCCCAGTTTGTTACTCTGTGTGGTATGGCATATGTTTTACCAAAAAAAGATATTTTAGTTTTCCTCTTAAATGGAATGTTGGTATGTGATTTTCCGGTTGTGCGTTCAGAACAAAATATATTTGGAGAAATCAATGTAGAATCACTAATATAATGAAACAATATCATAAATATTTCTTGGCAGTTGTGATTTTGCAATCTCTGTATCGATTGGTTGATACTTTTTCTTTACACCTGTTAATTTCACAAAATGGTAAAACATACAAGGGATTGACGTGGGAAATCTCACTTCATGTCTGAATAGAATTAAGTCTAACCCTTTATAAAGGACTATGTGCCAAACATATGAAAAAATTAAGTTGGTGAGTTTAATAGGTAACTATCTCACATGTTTCAGAGATCACTTTATTATGTAAGACAAGTACACAACAACCAAGTTGTACGGCTCTATGGAGTGACTTTTGACTCTATCATTTTGTTAACTCTAGTCTTCACCTAGTTTCAAGGAATGGAGTATGTAGAAGTACCCTTCATAATTTATGATGGTATTTAGGATTCTACCTTTTTCTTAGCCATTGGGTTTCATGGTTTTCAAGTCACTATAGGTACCATTTTTCTAATATTATGTGCTATTTGTCACTATCAAGTTTGCTAACACCAATCTCTTTACCTTAATTTTTGAGTGTGTTCAAAATAGAAAAGAATCTCCATTGATTATGAAATACTTTTTAATTTCTGAAAAGACTCTTTGGAAGCTAAGCTATATGAAATGTGATTACTATTGCATAACCTCCTTTGATCAAATTCATGTCACTTTGCCAAATTTTGGTTTGTTCAATGCAAATTAATTTGCTTTTACATTTTCTTTCTAGAGGTTTTGGCAAAAGAAATTTTTTATTCACCAAACACTTTCACATCTTCAATTCCCAAAATAAACCTTGTTTGCTTGGTGATTGGCATTCTTTTTAACTCATGTTGAAAACAAATTATTGGATTTTTCAGCCATGTATTCACCAAGATCATGTTTTGTCATAATTTTTTAAGCTTTTCAAAAGCTTTTTAATCAATTATCCAATTAGACTAAGAAAAATAGAAACTAATACATTTCTTCTTGTGCAAGTGTTTTGTCAAGGCAAGGAGTGGTAAATCCTCAGGAAAAAAAGATATATATAGCTCTGCAGGTAGGCACCTATCTTTTGGCCATGGTCAATTAAGGTGTCATCTCCATAATTCTTATGACATGTAACAACTTAAATTGGGGGATAACATTCACTCAGGCTACTTTAAGCGGTTTAAATTATCCCATTAGTGATTCTGACTAAATTAATCAAAGAACACTTGAATAGGCTGCTCATGCTTTAAAACAACGAGGGAACATTTAGTAGAAGTAAAACTGTAGGAGTTGCACGAGCGCCTCTTTACAGATTAATGACCCAATCAAGGGCGAACAGTAGAAGATTCATTTCAAATGAAAATGAAGTGTCGTTATCAACAATGTAAGCATTTCTAAAGATAAAACAGTTTCTGTGGGTTCCAGGCAGTAACTCAAAATGGGTTCCAAAAAGAATGCACAATGACCGTGGCTAGATTGAATGAGATTTCGGTTCCTGAAGTACGCTGATTCCCATTGTGTTGTTGACTGGACTTAGTATCAACAAATTTCATGTCAGTAACTGAAACTTTATAAGAGATGTAGCATTCAAATTGCTGCAGGTATAAGAGTGACAACTTCAGATATAATGCTTCGAAAAATAATTTTCTTATTTGAGAAATGAGAGCCACGAAAATCACCTAAGAACTAAGAAAAAACTACAATCCCACTGGGAATTTACTAGCCAGCTTGACGTTGCCTCCCTTAACCTAAAACAATTCCTACATGCCGCGGAGAACTGAAGCCACCTGTTTCCTTTGGAACCTACTCTTCTGTAGATACAACCTCTAATCATACCTTCCAATACGATCTTGGTGTGCATTAGTACCATGCTTAACCAGTCCAAGTTAACTTGGAGCATTTTCAAGAATTCTACCACTCGAAAAAATCTGGGCCAGCCCTTGAGATGAGCTCTTGTCCGGCATCTTGTGCCAAAGCGATCATATCATCATAGAAAAATGAGCCCTTCCTTGAGGTCTCCAACACTGAAACATCACATTCTGAGCTTTAATCCTCATAGCTAACAAGCAAGATGAAAATGCCTCGCTATTTTGACAACTAACCATTTCAACAACCATGGTCAATGTGTAAGCATGCATGGTGCAACACAAGCAGATATAAAATAAGAAATTAGCCACACCAGTAAGAAAATTTAGAGAAATCTGATTGCAGGGGAGTACAAACTGTGAATAACAAAGCAACTGAATGCAAAAGTCTTTTCACAGACCTTGTTTCCCATCAGTGGTTGCAACCAGGCCCCGAAACGAGCAGCCGTCATCTGTACGTTGGGCCAAACCAGCAATTGGTGTGCGGCAAGAGCCGTCCAGCTTAGCCAAAAATGCCCTCTCGCATGCCACTGCTAGTCTTGTGTCCTCGTGATTTAAAGACGAAAGATACTCCTCCTAAAAAATTCGAACATGGTTAATGATTTAAGTCAAGTGAAGCACACAACTAACAGTTATGGTTCTGAACTTCTGGTACATCTCATAGTGGCGGAGAAAGATCAACGGACTTTACGTACTACTAGACTTCGACTAGGTTGCCATACCAATAAAATGAACTACAAATAAAATGCTATACTTGTTTTCTCCACCTTTTAGAACTCACCATCTTAGTGTCCCCAGTTCGACAAGCAATACCAATGGCTCCTTGTGCAATGGCAGGGAGCATATCATCGGTATCAAGGATAGTTGTAACATGCTCTGTCATGTCTAAGCGCTTCAGACCAGCCAGGGCTAAGAGTGTGGCTTGAACTGTTCCTTCACTCAACTTACGAAGCCGAGTCTGAACATTTCCTCTAAAATTTACTACCTGTGGCAAAACACAGCTTTACAATAAGTATCATGCGATGTGTTAGAAGACGAGTACAGCAAAAAAGTTAAGCTAAGGTCTGGTTCTTGACCATCTCAGTCGTAGTTTAAGACATTCAATGCTCCTCCAAAAGAATTGTATTAAAAGAAATATTCGTTCACAAACTAAGTAAAAAATCATTCTACAAAATCGATACAATGACTGCTCCTCAATGTAGTTAGTAAAAAGAAGAAAAAATCAACACAAATTATTTACTAGCAATTTGAAGGAATCGATTCAAGGCAACAACAAGCAAGGTACTGACCTGGACTCGACAGGATACTCTTCAGTGACGTTATCAGACGAAGAGGAAAGTTACAAGCCAACAGAATAGTGCACCCCTTGCATTTTCCACTGACTCAACTTCGCTAATCGGCACGTAAGGTAGAAGATGTACAACACAACTCCCATATTCCAACTGCAAAAGATCTAAACTACATTTCTACGACAAACTACAAATTTAAAATAAAATAAAAAATAAAAAATAAAAAATCACACACACACAAAATAGTAATAATAATAATAATAATAATAATAATATTATTATTATTATTAAAAACATAAACCACAAACACAAACAAAAATATAAAAAAAACAAAAAAAGATACAAACAAAAACAAAGACAGATTAGGGTGGACAATACTCTAAGATGAAAGGAGAAAGGACGTCAGTATATTACCTTAAGATGAGGATACTTGTGTAGGAGTTGAGATTGCCTCCGCAGAGATGCACTGCCAACCACACTGCCTTCAGGTAGTTCGGCAAGAGAAGAATAATTCGGACAAATAAAAGCGTCACGAACATCTTCCCGGGGGAGGTTGCAGGGGAGTATTGTGCCCTCAGGTAAATAGGTGGGAACGTCCTTCATGGAGTGAACGGCGATGTCGATATCACCGTTCAACAACGCATCATCAATTTCCTTGGTGAACAAACCCTTGCCTCCAATATCTGCCAACGGTTGACTCAAAATCTTGTCTCCAGTAGTCTTGATGATGACAATTTCAAGGGCTCCCTCCTCCGCCAATTCAGGATGAGCTGCCTTCAACTTGTCTCGAGTCTGATAAGCCTGTGCCAACGCCAGAGGACTGTTTTCCAGCCCCCATTCCACGTTACTAATGGTGCACTTTGGGAAAAAGTATTGCGAAAAACCCTTACAAACTTAGAGAAACCCTCCATTGAAACCTCTACTGAGAACTCAATCCCTCTATTATTCTCAACAGAATTTGCACTCCAATACCTGAGCTGCACTACACAGTAGACATAAAAAATTAAACACACGTTGAAAATGAGACACATTCTTACACTCGAGATTAGTTCAGCTCCGATAATTTAAAACCCTATAACATATACCTCTACCTACTCTTTGGCAAGTCAATCCAGCCCCAAACTACTTACAAGTACGGGAGCTTTGAGCAACGCGCCACAAAATCAAACAATCATGGAAGCACATCTCTTTATGTTGTACCTGAGAGAAAGCAGTCTAATTAATTTAGCCGTTCAGAATCCATAATTCGGACATCTAGGTCCACCAAACACTACGAAACCATTTCCATTTTTCCTCAATGCAGTCGTGCAGCAATTCGGGATGCATCAGAAACTAGCACGCATCCACAATTTATGGCAGTGCAGAGGGAACTAACCTTCCACGAGTACCAATGCGCACCAGCGCAACTTTGGTCTGCGTATCAAACGTCGCAGTGGCCTCTACAACACTCCGCTTCACACTCCTGCTTGCCGTAACACCACTAGGCTTCACCAAACTGACACTCTGCCCAAATAATGACCCCTCCCTGACCTCTCCGAAATGAGCACCTCGTCTCTGACGCAATGCCACCGCACCGATCCTCTTCTCAATCGTAGTGGCCCCAGGCGTCGCAGGAGCGTCCGCCCCGCAGCTCCGCAGAAGCGCAGAAGAGTGCGCCATTGTCAAGGCCGCCATAACTTCCTGCTTTTCCTGTTAATTCTTCACGCTACTGCAGTAATACGGTGCGGGAGAAGGGATCTGGCGATGGTGGCGAGAGAACTTCAAACGCTGCAGCAGCGAGCATTTCGAAGAAGGCCGCTCTTATCCCACAAGATTGGGTTAGGATAACCCACCCGGATTCTTCATTCATTGTGTCGCCATTCATCCGAGATCATTAATTAACCACGTCCTGTAGACTCAGTTCGATTGCGTTGCTTCATCTTTATGATTCCATTGCACCCACAAATTCTGATGATCCTAACCACATCTCAGCAGTAGTAGTTTAGAAAACAGTTGGGTCTGCGAAACGGTTTCGCCGTGTATTGGATTGAAGGGACTTCAGATTTGGCGTGAACGTTACATGAAACGTTGGCTCGAAACCTTTGGAGCCGAATAGACGAGACTCTTCGATTCCGCAGGACTCAGGCAATCCTTAGTGACAGAGCAAGCTGTTTGCCCACCGGTTGTTTCACTGGAGCTGTGGGCTGTAAGCTCAGCAGCAAACGCTTTGAAGGACATCTAGGTTTTCTCGGTGACGATTTAGTAGGCACAAAATCTGCAAACCCAATTTAGAGCAGCAGCGAAAGCGAAGATTCTCAAGAAATCTAAGGGTGAATCGTAACCAACTCCTGAGAAGAGGACAGATTTTGAGATTGTAAAGTCGGCAGAATGTTTCCACGACCAAACCGAAAGCCCGGCGTGCCCTACTCTGATTTCCCTGTCGATGAGATGGGTAACAAATCTGAAATGATCACTCACGGGACGCCGTCCAGATACTCGTTCGTGATCGAAGGTCTCGATGGCTACTGGGCTCATGTTGAACGATGCAATTCAAATCGAGTACCTCTCATTCCATCACTCCACCACACACACACACACTCAAAGCATTGGTTGAACTTCTTCCGCTGATGGGTTTGAAGTCATCTCTAGAGTCCTTGATGAAGTTTGTCCAGACGATCAACAGCAAAATGTGGCGCATACTTGTGCAAGTCAGCACTAATTTTGCAGAAGTGAATGCGATTCCATGGCTAATTGTCGAAAATTGTGTGTTTAGCTTCACTGACATGCTACTGGAATATCCCTTTTCTTGGCTAGTGAAAACGAAAATTAGACAACGTTGATCTTTCGTTTGCACAGTTTCCTTCTGATCGAGTCTTTGCAAGTTCATGGATGCAAATCAAAGCACGTTGGTCTCGCAGCAACATTCTCGACTCAAGCAGGGCATTCTAAAAATGTTGAAAGAGTCTGAACTTGTTGAAAATGTTAGGTTTCCCCTGACTCAAGAATTCTTGCAGGATAAGAGGAAGGATTATCTGCCCTTCATTGCTGGGCAAGGGCTTCATGTGGGCTTCATCCACCCCAAGTAACTCTCTCAGATGTCGTCAATCCTGCAACTTAGAAAGCTAGATGCATCATTTGTACATGTCACTGCAGATGTCATGAGGTTGCTTCAATTTCAGACGTTTTTTTGTTAAGGGCCCGCTTGATGTTTTGCGACTATATCCTCTTCTAACTGTGAAGAACGTTCCATTCATGTTGCAATTTACTTTTGTAGATTCTGTGGATGGCCACCTGGGTAGACAACTTGACAAGCTCTGCTCGATAAGCCTCGTGTTGTATGGACTGTGAATACTGTGGAGCTTCTTTGCCGCAGGTTTGCTGAGGAATTGAAGCGCTTCCCAGGCATTTTTACCTTTTCTGGGGACAAAGCGAAAGGACAGATGGTTCAATTGAACCGCACCCTCATTACCGAGAAAGATTGCACAGCTTCTGTCGAAGGCGTGATGCAAATCTTGGCGAACGAGGGCAAGATACACAGCTGGCGCAATGAGGTGAGCTGGTGTTGAAAGACAATTTTCCTTTATTGACATTTTTTTGATACACAACAAAATGGGCATGCATGGAGTTTATGCTTTGCTCTCCATTTCAAGAACTTCGATCACCTGTCGTTGGGCTTTTCATTCAGTGGGCATGCTTCAATATGTGAATTGGGATTTTGTAAAAAGTCTGAAGTGATTGTGAGTGATTGTGCTTTTGGAGCTTGCTTCGGAATTCGTTTAGTACCTTCGATCTAATTCTCAGTAACATGCACGCAGAAATATCCAGTTGTCACAAGCTTTGGATCACCTTCTCTGTTTTGGTTAGAACGAGCTTGCGTGCCATACTTGGGCACCAAAGTAAGTACTTTTCACTACAACCCTTGTAACTTTATGCTGCTCCAAAACTAGGATGCAGGTTTAATATTCTTTAATGCAGATCTCTTAAGCAAATTCAAATTTGCGCGAACAGATGTCGGGTTCCTAACCGAGGTGAATTACGAATGTACACACAGGCATACCACACGCATCTGAACGGGTACACAATCGTTGACGGCGAGATGTTCCTGTGGGTGAGCATTCGTGGTGATAGCAAGATGCATCAGGACTTTCCTGGGAAGTATGATCATCTTGTTGCCGGAGGCCAGGTCGGGCTTCAACCATTTCTCCACAGTTTCTAATAACATGCTTTAATGGATATAACTGTTGGATGATCTGCATTGCGTCTACGAAATTGCAATTCCGTGGTCATGTTTTTTAACCACCGAGAGTACTAATGGACCCTTTTGGAAATAGCCCGTCAACCTAACGCCTAAAGAGAACATTCTAAGGTACGCTCAAGCAAGAGCTAACATGCCATCTGACATGGCGGAGAAGGCCATTCCTGTGCGTACTATTAGTTACGAGCAGATCGATGATCAGAAAATGAAGAGAGATGTTATCTTCTGTTACGACCTCGAGGTGCCGTATTTCTGGCAACCAAAAAACAATGGTTTGCTCCAAACTTTCTAAGTTCTTACCTTGACGTCTACGTTGTGCTGACATCCTGACACATAAAATGATTATATTTGTTCTGCAGCAGGATTTCATTATTGGTAGCTTTGGAATGTTTCAGACGGAGAGATTGACTCATTCAAGATAATGCGTGTCACAGAAGTGGCAAAGATCATCCGATCGTCGACCGGAAGCTACAAAGCAAATTCAGCCCTTGTCGTCATCGATTTTCTGTACAGACACGGGTCTGTATTCTGAACCTACTACTACCTCTTTCGACCATTCTTGGGTACCTATCTACAATCAATGAGAATCCGTTAAGGAGAAACACCATGGGTTCTTTGAGCTTGAATTTAATCCAACAAATGAGTTTCATAACCTAATGCATTGCCTTGACTACTTGGAAAATGCAGATTCATAAATCCGAATGAGCATGGCTATCTGGAACTACAGCAATCTCTGCAACAAGGAGAAAATGAGTAAATCATCGTCTGTAGAGTTCCCCAGTTCGTATCCACCTGAGTTTGCATCTCTCCAGCTCCATCATCAAACACCAGGAACTTTCACGAAAAAACAAAAAAAAAGTAACAGTAAAGAAAAGTAGATAGATATCCAACTTTCATGAAAAGAGCAACCGATGCCTTCCGTATGTCCACGGAGTCTCCAGTTCCCAGTACCGACTTCGTTACGTATCAAGGGTAAACTTTGTCCCATTGTTTGAATATTCCCGCAAGACAAGGTAAGTTACTTCACAAAGCACCTCGCTTGTTACTGACAAAGCACTCTACTGACTGATGGATATCGACAATAGTTAAGGATGGGCAGGAGACTGGAAGGTGGCATTGTGGGACCAGTCCAAAGGAACTGCAGCAAACTGGATGATGGAATCTCGGTGCTCCGAAGAAGACATCTCTGACTTCTGGGGGCAGCTCTGAGTGGAAACCTTCCTGTTAGGACACTGAGTTGGACTCTTTAGAAGGAAACTCCAATTGAATCCTAAACTTAGTCAAAAATCTACCCCATTGTCTATGTTTAGAACTCCCGAGTGTTTAGAAACCAGCTCTGAACCGTCCACAAATCCGTGTGCAGACATCGAACACAACCAAACCCAGCAATCGGAGTCAACGTGCTCAGTCCACACCAGATCTGCTGGAGTGTGTGTACCCGGGACCACTTGGTTCACTGCATAATTCTACAAGTTGTGTTTTGCTTGTTGTTGTGAAGGGTGGGCTACAGTTAGTGGGAGGTTTTGCTTGGAGAATTCTGCTTAGAGAGGAGAGAAGAGGAAGGGCTAGTTGTGGGTTTGTTTTGTTTTGTTTTTTTTTGGCACAAATGAAAACGTTTTCATTGCAAGGGGAACCAGTAAACACTATTTGTGGGTGTTTTAACGAGGAAGATGCCATTTAGGAAACCTCCAAAGAAAATCATTGTGGGTCATTAACACGTTGTTGGAATGAGCTGTTGATGTCGTTTGTGAAAAAGTTTTTTATTTTTATTTTTATTTTAAATATTTTATTGATAATTTTTTTTTGTTGGTCACTAAATCTTATGTGAGGATAAGAGTAAAGGTTTCTTTTGTACAACTTTGTGTGCCTTTGTTTAATATTCTATGTAGACGCCATTTTATTTTCAACTTCTATTCCTAAAAAGTCGCATTCTTAGCTGAATTTTATATTGACATTGAATCATTTGTTTTGTTTTGTTTTGTTTTTTCCCAATCTATTATTTTTATTAAATATCCTTCATTAAGAGGACATTATTTATTTTTTCCAAAAAAAAATTAAATGTAGAGAGAGAAGAGAGCTATATATATATATATATATATATATATACATATTTTTTGAGATTAAGTTTATTGAACAAAGGTGGATATCCTCTTCTTTGTACAAAACATCATTTGCAATCATTTATTCTTATACACTAACGTATTCTTTAATTTATTCTATTAGATTGGTCTATATTTAATCTAAAATATTTTATATTTTTCCTATTGCTTTTATTTTGCTGACTTTTAGTATTATTATATATTGAAAAAATATTAAATAGATCCATGCTTTTACTAAATAAATCCATGTTTGATGAAGAATATGATAATTATGATAAATGTGGTTGATTTTAATTGGTTATAAATCCAATATAGGAGAAATATATCTAGAGATTGTTTTTTTTTTTTTTTTTTTTTAGAATAGGTAGGCCGAATTAGTAAAAATTTAGATCTATTTAATAATTTATTTATTTATATTTATTTATAAAAAACATTAATCATGTTAATGAATATATCAAAAATAAAAAATATTTATGAAAATAATTATCTATATAATTTGATAAATTATTAGAAGATCGATTAGAAGCTTGACACTTTCTAATACATTTGAATTTGGTGATCCACATTTTGACCTATTTTGTAGTAAACTATCATAGACATACATATTTACTTAGATATGAAATGTTTGATAGAAAATAAATGTAGGTAGATTTGATATTATCTTATGGCAAAGCTTCTTAGAAGTTATATAGACATGTATTTGACTTTAGATGTACTTGTAGTTGATTAATAGGTTAGAAACTTTTCTAATAAGTTAGCCACTTATTACATGTACTAGTAGCTTGTAAAACAAGCTAACTACATGGTGCATATATAGGATTTTTTTTTTATAAGTTGAACATGTATTGAAGGTCCTATAAAACATTGTCAAGTAGCTTCTAATTAGATAATATATGGAGACAAGAGTGAAATCTTCTTCATTCTTATCAACACCTTTTTAGTCATTAGTCTTGTTTCAAGTCTTTTTAATCTTCTTATCTTTAATATTAGCCATTTTAGTTTTAATATTATATTAGTTTTGAATGAATATCTATTCTTTTTAACTTACATAAGAGTATGTTGAATTTTTGGATCCTTAAAATTCATATCTTTAATAGTTTGACAATTGTGCTAATTCATTGTTTTTGTTTTGTTTTCAAAAGCAAGTGCACTATCTTACTTCTATTGTTGTATTTGAAAGGTTGGGGACTATCCACCTTTAATCTAATATTTTGGTTCCCTAATAATGATTTTTTTCTTAAAGAGAGTAGATTATTCATTTTTATTGAAATATTTATTTGATATTAGAGGATGCAAATTATCATCTTCTAATTTCACTTATAAATTTGTTTGAGTTGTTTATGAAAAGAAAAATTATAGATGCTATTCTTAGTGGAAGTGAGAATAAATTTACAATCATTGTAGATCTTTATGAGTATATCAATACTCTTGGGATGGAAATTTTATGTATTTCTAATGTCAACTATAGAAGTATTCTAATACTTATAGAAGAGATCAATAATAAAGTTAAAAGTCTATGTCAAAAAGTTAATGAATTGAAAGAAGTAAATAAATCAAGTTCACAACTAAATTAAAAAAATCTTACTACTATAATTATAAAGGAGGCAAGGATAAATATATTGGAGAAGTTCAATGGAATAGGATTGAAGTTTCAAAGATTTCTATAATAAGTAAAGGTCTATTTAAGGTTGCATCCTTCTCAATACCTTTATAGATTTATTTAAGTTGGATTCATAGATGCATCACTTTTTCTTGGCTTGCACCTTTGATGAAAAAATATTCATGACTACTCTATAATTCAAATTCATTCTTGAAAGTTTTCATGGTTATATTTAGAAAAAGTAATTGAAAAAGGATAGTAGAAATCAAACTCATATTTGTATAAGAAAGAACACATTTTGTTATTATAAATGCTATGAAATTTTAAAATCTTGCTTAGAACATGGATTAGAATAAGAAGGCCCCTATCAATCAATTTTGATATAGATAAAAAGATAATATCAAAGATTTAATGTTGATAATTTTGAGAGCAAATTTATTGGAGAAATTTATTATTCAAGATATTACATGCAATAATTGATTTTTTGAAAGATGCCAAGAATAAAGATTTGGTTAAAGATGTATAAGTCAAGTTATAGAGATAAATTTTAAGTTTATAGAAACTTATTCATCAAGACCAAAATCTATGAAAATTGATATGATATATTTTAAACCTCTTATTTAGCAAGAAAAGATTTGATGTCATTAAGAAGAGTTATGCATATATTGTGGAGAACCTAAGTACCTTATTTAATATTTTTTGAAGAAGCAAGACAACTACAAAATAAAGAGCATGATTGCAAAAAAAGACGATGTGTGAAAAAAATAATTTTTTCAATTAAAATAGGGACCATGTGGTTGAAATCTTGTTCAATATCTAATAATGGTCCTATCTTCTCCTTAGATCTTTCATCTTGTTTTATAATAGAAATTTATTTAAGACCAAAAAATCACAAAGTCTTAGCCTTGTTAGATTTAAGAGCCTCACTTTGTTTCAAAGATAAAAATTTAGTAAAAAATACAAGAAATATCTTTAGTTAAAAAAACAAACTTATACATGTAAAAGTAATAGATAATTATTTGATGTTGTTTAAAGATATCATCCTTAAAATTTTTCTTTATTTGTAACAACTAATAGTTATAATAGCTTAGTAATATTTAATATGATTGAATCTCCTTCTACCTAACTATTTTAGGATTATTATAGCTAAAAAAATATAACCTTCAAAAAGATTGGATTTCATATAACTTTGATTTCTTCTATAATTTTACCTAGGATTTTGCTAGTTAAATAAAAACTTACAAGTTTAATATATCCAAACTATTCTTAATGGATGTAAGAATTTTTATACATGTTATAAAATAAAGATCAACTTTTGCTATATATACCACATTTATTTTTGATAGAAAAAAGATTTCAACTAATATTTCAAGCCAATATCAAAATTATCAAGACGTTTTTGTGAAGAAAAATGTAAATTTTCTTTTAGCATATTGTTTATATGATTAGTCCATCGATTTTCAAGAAGGAACTTAACTACTATTTGGACCAATTTATAGCCTATTATAGAATGAATTGGTTGTACTTAAAGAATATTTTAGTAAAAACTTGGTTAAAAACTTCATATGCCATTCTAAATCTCTAGTTGAGGCTCTTTTCTTATTTGTGAAGAAAAAGGATGCATCTTTGCAAATATTTGTGAATTATCAAGGATTTAATAAGATCACCATCAAAAATAGGTATTTTTTCTCTTTGATTTCAAGACTTCTTGATCAGTTCAATTAAAAAAAGAACAATATCAAATTAAATATACAAAGAATATATAATTTGATATGCATTAAAAAAAAATGAATCGAAGATTACATTTTGAACTAATATGGAAATTTTGAATATAATGTCATGCCTTTTGGATTCACAAATACACATTCTACTTTTTAATATCTAATAAATGATGTCTTTTGTGAATTTTTTGATGACTTTGTTATTTATTATTTGGACAACATTTTAATCTATTCTAAAAATATAAAAAAACTTAAACTTCATGTTTGTCATATATTACAAAAACTAAGAAATGCAAGATTTTATGCGAGAATGAAAAAGTGTACATTTCACATTATTCAAGTTGAATTTTTAGGATACATCATTTCACATGATGGCCTTATAATGGATCCTAAAAAAGTTTAGACTATCATAGATTGAAAGATCCCAATTACAATAAAAAATGTGTAATTTTTTTTAGGATTTGCTAATTATTACCAGATTTTTATCAAGAACTTTTTTTAAAGTTATGACTCTTCTTATACTTTTAACATGTAAAGACAAATTTGAGTGGAACAAAACAAATGAAGCATCTTATTAAGATTTAAAGACATCATTTATTATTGTACTAATCTTGTACTACGTCAACTTTTTTAAGGCATTTTTTTATAGAAATAAATGCATTAGATTTTGCTACAAGTGCAATTTTGTCACAAATAGAAGCGGATAACAAATTCTATCTAATAGCTTTTCATTCTAGAAAATTTCAGTAATTAAAATTAGTTACAAGATCCATGACAAAGAGCTTCTTGCAATCATAGACTCATTTCAATAATGGCATTATTATCTAAAAAATACTTCCAATCTAATCACCATATATATGAATCACAAGAATCTCAAGTACTTTATATTGTCATATATTTTGAATCATTGCTAAGCTTGTTGGAGCATGTCTTTATTAAGATTTTATTTCAAGATCATTTATCAACTTAGAAAACAACAAAGTTTATTAGATATTTTTTCTAGACATTCTTCTTTTGCACTAAAAAAAAATGCATCTTTTGATCAATATAGAACGATTTTCTTGAAGCAAGAGTATTTTCATATTTTAGCAATGAAATCAATATTAACTATTGATTCAATTTTTTTAAAGTAATTTCAATTGAGTATGTCATCTAATCATTTTATTTATAATCCTAAGAATAATTTTTAAAATTTTAATGATACTTCTAACTTCAAGTTTAAAAATAATCTATTATATTTTAAAAGATAATTATATATTCTAAAAAGCACCAATTATATATTTTTCAAGCTCGTCACAACATTTTGGTAATTGAATATTTTGGATACCAAAAAACTTTAGAATTAAGATCAAAATATTTTTGGTGGCCTCAAATATAGAAGGTGATTAAAGACTTTGTATAATCATGTAATATTTTTTCAAGATAAAAAATTCCTTGTCATTGACTTTATGTACTTTTTTTGCCATTATTTATTAAAAAACAACCATAGTCTTTTATTTCTATAGACTTTATTACAAATATTTTAATCTTAAGTTTTTCTAACTTTATATTTATAATAGTAGATTGATTCATCAAGATAACATATTTTGTATCATATATAAAATCTATTATATGTGAAGAAATAGTTAAGCTTTTTATTAAAAAAATTTATCACTATCATAGATTATTAAAGCATATTATATTGGATAAGGATGTGCAATTTGTATCAAGATTTTAGAGAATTTTTTTTGAGATTTTAAAGGTGGACATAAAATTATCTTTGTCATTCTATCTTCAAATTAATTGACAAAAAGAGTAAGTGAATCAAGTTCTAGAGTTTTATTTGAGGTGTACCATCAACTATCATCAAGACAATTGAATAACTCTTTTGCTATTAGCGGAATTTATTTATAATAATATAATACATTCTTTTATTAAAAAAACACCTTTTTTTACCAATTATGAATATTATCTACAACTTGATATTTTTGACTTTTCAAAAGATGATAATCCTTTAAAGAGAGATTTTGCAAATCATTTGTCAAAGCTACATGTAACAATGAAGGCTCAACTTAAAGAAGCTTAAGAATGATAAAAGTTCCGTGTTGATGCTTAACTTAAGGAACAACTTCAATTCTATGTTAGCAAGAAGATATGATTACTTTATTATAATATCAAGACTATTTCCTCTTATAATAAGTTGAATTATTGTAGACTTCAACTATTTTATATATGCAAAAAAATTAGTTCAATTGCTTTTTAATTGTAGGTAGCAAAATCTATGAAGATCTATCTCCATGTTCTATGTACCTTTTCTTTAAGCCATACAAGATAATATATATACTTAGAAGATAAAAAATGCTATCTCATCCTATAGAAGTGGATAATAATCAAAAGTATGAGATTGAAGTAGTCTTAGATTCAAGGCAACATTATAATAGATTAAAATATCTTTGTCATAGATATATTATATAAGAGATCAAACAAGAATTTGAATGGGAGAGTTTCAACAAGAAAGCTAATAAGAACTTGATTAAACTTGATGAGTACAAAATCAACACCAAGAGAGATGAGCTAGAGCTCTAATAGATGTGTTGTCAAGATTGAGGATTTCTTCAACCTCAACTCCAATATATACTAAGTATTTGGAAGCTTCTTAAGAAGTTTCCATTTTACTTAAAAATTAAGCAATGTTCAGAAGCTCAACAAAAATTTCCTATGTTGCTTGAAATTGAAGCAACCTTAAGTTGCTTCTTGAGAAGTTTTTATGTTACTTAAAGATGAAGCAATTCTAAGAAGCTTCTTAGACAATTTTAAAAATCTTTTTAGAGCTTTTTAAATTTTATTATAATATTCTAAGAACCATTTAAAATCTTTATAAATATTTTAGATTTTTTTAAATCTTATAAAATTTCTAATATCTAATAAAATATTCTATGAATATTTTTAGAATCTTTTTTTGGATGTCCATAACAATCTTGTTCATTGACACATATATGATATTAGTAAATGCACATGGGAGCTAGTCAAAAATCTTGCAAATGCAACAAAGAAGATAGATGCTTTTCATTGACCACATCCATCTAAATAAAGATGAAGGATAACAAATCTTGGTTATAAAAAAAATGCAATTGAGGAATTTTTTTTGTATATTTGTTGTGGTAAAGAGATGGAGATTCAATAATTAGTAGATTTAATTCAAGAACTATTATTTGTTGAGTTACTAAATGAGATTTTGCAATTGTTATAACCTTCAAGATGACGCAATAGAGATGAAGATTCTCAAAAATAATATGTGCTTCCTCAAATAGATAATGAAATAAAACATATTTGGTATTACAACCTTGGAAGAGACTTTCAATAATTGGTGATATTATTATAGGTAGGAACTATTGTTAATATTATTTTAAATATTTTATTTGATGAGAGTTATAAAGTCTTAACAATAATTAAACAACAAAGTAGTCTTTTAGCCTTAGTATGGGACAATATCAATGGCTGAGAGGACCTATCAACCACCTTCAAAAAGAACAAAGATTACATTATGTAGCAAATACAATTTGTTGCATCTTGGACTTCCTCAACATATGATTTTTACTCCTTGTGGAACTTGTCTGTAAAACATAATATCATAGACATATATATTTACATAGATAGAAAGTATTAGATAGAAGATAAATATAAATAGATATGATATTATCTTGGGGCAAAGCTTCTAAGAAGCTGCATAGATGCATATTTGACTTTAGATGTGTTTGTAATTGATTGATAGGTTAGAAATTTGGCCAATAAGCAAGGCACTTGTTGCACATGCTAGTAGCTTGTGGAACGAGCTTACTACATAGCACATATATTAAAAACTTCTTATAAGTTAAACATATACTGAAGTTCCTGTAAAATGTTGCCATGTAACTTCTAATTAGATAGTGAGTATGAAAACAAGAGTGAAGACTTCTTCACTCTTATCAATGCCTTTCTTGGCCTTAGTCTTGTTTCAAGACTTTTTAGTCTTCTTTTCTTAAGCAATAGCCATTCTAGTTTCAATATTATATTAATTTTAAATGAATATCTATTCTTTTTGAGTTACACAAGAGTGTTTTGAGTTTTTGGATCCTTGAGATTCACATGCTTGACAAGAATACAATAAATTTATATTATTCCACAAGAAATATTATGTATTTATATATCGAAGAGAATATACATTAATTAATAAATAAATACATCTTTCCAATATTTAAAACAATTTAAATTTCGACCTCACATCAATAATTAATGAATTTTTTATATTTTCTCATAATATTCATTTCATATTTATTTCAATTTGATACTTTGAAAACATTCTTTGATAAATGAAAACACCAACACATCACATGCTTTGAAAATTTAATTCTTTTTAGTGAAATACAAGTGAAAATCCTTTAAACATAGAAACCATGTCAATTGTTGGTACATGTATTGTAAACTTATTAAGACCTATTAGAAAGGAGTCATTTCTTGAATCATAACTTCTTCATTAAAAAATCATGCATCATTCCAAAGATTTAATCACATTACTCACAATCAACCTACCTCTGAAATCAATAAACTATGAAGTTTCAGTAGCTATGAACTTTACATCACACATTTACAACTGCATCCATCTGAACTAAACAGACTCTGATTCCCTTCGCAATCAATTCCCTTCCCCGTCGTTTGTCTGTCACGAGGCGATAGATGCGGACCTGAACGCCATCCTCATCATCACGCCTGGCAAGAAAGAAGCTAAAAAGGAAGACCGTTGTTGCAACTATCTCGCGGTCGGTAGAGCAACAAGTTGTGTTTTTTAATCGCAATGTGAATTTGGATATGTCCCGGGTAGGTGGTCAACATCTGCCCGAGTTAACCCTAGGGGACTCGTTTGCTAGCTCAAATTTGTCCCTCCCTTATCCCATTTGTAATCCTTTTGATACGGAATCGTCGCTAAATGATTTCGAAATAGGCAAAAAATAAAAAAGAAGTAGAAGCAATATTCAGTGAGCTGGCGCTAATTTTCCTGCCTGTTGTGGCGGTGACTGGAAGGAAGAGGAAGAGAGGAAGAGGACTACTATTTCCTTTACCGATTCGTGTCAATGGAGGCGATTGGATCCACTCGGGGTTCTGTTGACCAATCTGTATGTCGAATTTGTAGTTGAATGCGACGTTGCCCATGTCAGGAAAAATCACCCTCGGGGCCTTGTCAACACTGCCTGCTGCGCTCGCCTTGTGTGACGGTGGTGAATAGCTGGACCGTAACCGCGTTGCCTGGTGGAAGCGTATTTAGAAACTTGGTGTCTGCAGAGCACTTGACGGCACTGGGAAGATAGAGAGGGACGACACAAGAAGAGCTGTGGAGCTTTGCGGATGAGGTGTGAGCCATCAATTGTCGACAATTTGTTGTGGGTTAGGGCTGGTGGAGGATTAGGAGCTGGTGAAGACTCTTGGGTTCAGCTTCGGAGCTTGTTGATTTCTTCTTGTTTTAGGGCGATCAGAGGTGGAGGAGAATTTACAAGAGCGACGTTATAGAAAAGCGTGTGTGTGGAAGCGTCTGTTTTTAGCCCATGATGCCATGGAACGCACATGTTTCGTAGTTTGTAGGGTTTCTGCCTCCATGGAATGGAAATCTGTGATGGATCAGACTGCTCAAAAGAGCTATTGGAGTTCTTTCTTGTTTTGTCATAGGAGAAGATTGTGGCCTTCGTTACTTTGGCTCTGGGCTGCAGCTGTTGCACTGCTTTCAGGTTTTGGAACTTCTCAAGGGATTAATGCTTGCAACCGGATTAACGTTACCACTGATTCATCAGAAGGTGAATCAACTTTTACACAGTTTCAAATGCTAAGTACTGAAGAGCTCGCCTTTTGACTCGCTTGGGATTCCGACCTGACGAGGCTTTTTCGTCGTATTGTTATATGCTGTGCGCAGTGAACGCACTTCGCGCTATCTACAGGGGTTTTCTACTACCTTCTCCTGGGGACTTGCCTGGCTGGATTGAAGGAGGGGATCCTTGTGGGGTTGGAGGCAAGGAGGGATGGCGGGGAGTCGCTTGTCAAAGCATCATAAATGGACCTTGTAGCACCACTGTCTCGGGACTGTACGTACATCTTTCTCTATAACAAGAAGATTCGATAACTCTGAAGTTTTGCTTACATAACATGTCACTTCGTCATGATCAGGGTATTGGAGTATGTGATCTGTCCACTTGGTAGCATTTTGTAGTTCAATTTTGCTACCCAGCGACCCATACTTGCAATTCGGCGGGCAGAAGTATATCTCTGATTCACAGCTGTTTAGTGTAAGACGTGAAGTGCACTGCGATGCGGTGGTGATTTTCAAATTTAGCATTCGGTTTGTGGAATATTAGACGATCGTCTTCTTTTCCATCTCGTAGCATGTACTAGTTTCCTTTTGTTGAAAGCCCATTGTCTTCTGATAATGTGAATTTACGCTCATGGTGAGGGGTTAGTTTGGCTGTTGATAATCTTGCAACTAAATTATGCAGGCAACTGACAAATTTGAACCTCAAGGGGAGCCTGGCCAAGGAAATTGGTAACTTAAAAAACCTATCAATTCTGTAAGTGGATTCCAACCAGCCCGTCTATGCCGAAATTAAATTCCAGCTGCAGGAATTCTAGATCATTATTAAGGAGCAGTGATATGGGCGTTTTACCGAATTTCTTTTGTCTACCAAACTCGAAGATGTCACAGCCATCCATGAGTTGTTTAGATGCTAATATGAAATAAAAATTACAATCTTAGGAATTTTGGAATTGCTTCGTGATGAGCGGCTACTGTATTTGCTCAATCGATGTCGATGCCAGCTCCAAGTCGAACACCAATACAAAGAAGCAACCTAAGTCTGAAGACAGGATGCTTAGTCATGATTGTTTTGTCTAAGTGCAGAAGCATAGCTTACAATCCATCTCTCATGGGACCAATCCCAAGCTCTGTTGGAAACCTGACCAATGTAGTTGTTCTGTAAGTTTCAACCAACATTTGTGGGATATTTTATCGATGAAGGGCGTGAACTTATTTTGTAGTTTGGAGGATGGAAAGTAAAAAAATTGATGCATTTACCTGATTATAGACGAATCTTTTTGATCTATCGAATTTGTGATTTTGTTTTACAGAGATTTAAATGATAATGGCTTCAGCGGGAATATACCTTCGCTTGCTCGATGCAAAAGCCTGCAGGCTTTGTGAGTTTTCAATCAACCATCTTTGCCAATCGGCCATATTGCAAAAACATATCATATTTTTGTGTATCAAACGTTTGAGGGTTACAATGTGGCTGTTTCTTGCCAACTTCAGCGAAATAGGCAGCTGGTTCTGGGGACAACTCACAATATCAATACATACATTGCTTCTACCGTTGTTTGTCTTTAATGATTCTCAGCTTATGGGCTAGAATGAATATGCCCTCGCGTTTCATTGGAGGTTCTAGATCAATTTTATAAAATTGAAGAGGTTGGATTACTCAATTGATTGGGTCTGATCGTGAATTATATCTTTATTCAGAGACTTGAGCGGAAACAAGCTCAATGGTACGATATCTGAATGGTTAGGTAACTTGACGCAGCTCCAACGGCTTGACTTATCGAATAATCAACTCACTGGTAGCCTTCCAGTTTCCAGTCTGAACAACCTAAAAAATGTTGTTCACATGTAAGCTTTTATCCTTTAAGCTTTTCTTGATCATTCCCTTCAGCTTCTCGGCACTATGTCTGAGTCGACAGTTTTATTTTTTGTGATTCATTACACAAGTAAGCAGTATTGATGGGCAGCATCAACTGGAGTAAAATACCTTCCTGGACCAAGTAAATGTAAACATCTGGTGAATTGAAAGGGAATAGTTTCAGATGTTCGTGTTTTACATGAATGGGAGGAGGTCAAGCTCTGTCGTCGTTTAAGAAAATTCCACCATGTTGTTTGACCTTGTCATTGTATGATTGCAGAGCAATCAGTAACAATAATCTGACAGGAACATTGGATAACTTCAGCACCCCTATTTCCCTCAGAACTTTGTGAGAATCCTCTAAAGACCTACTATTCCTCTTGTTTATTTTAGCTGGCGTGATGTCACATCTGTGCGTCATTGCTGCTTTTTGTGCTGATTTTCTCGAGGCGCTGTGTCCTGAACATACGCCAGCAAAGTCACTATCTGAACCTGAGAAACTACTCAAACTGACAATGCTTTGCGCATTAGGAATGTAAGCAATAACCACTTCAGCGGCACAATGTCTTTTCTCAAAAACGAGTCGCAGCTTGCTGTATTGGACTTATCAAGGAATGAAATTAGCGGAGTATTGCCAGATATGACCACCCCAGGTCTTCAACAAATGTACTCTCATCTCTGGTCCCAAATCTGCTTCAAGAAATTGGAATTTTTGTATTTGAATACTTGAATTGTTTTATTTAATGAATCGGTACTGCAATAATTTTCAAAACTGACGCATTTTAATTTGCCTCTATTCAGATATATGGCAAGCAACAAGCTGAATGGCAATATTTCTTCTGCTTTCTTGAATAGTCCCAACCTTCAGTACTTGTAAGTGCCCTTAGTTGCATCGATTGGTTTTGATGTATACTAGTCTCGTCAACTCGATCGGGTTTCACAATAGTGATCACGTCAACCTTAAGAATTATGACTTCAGTTCGGAAGCAGTGGATAAATGTTAAATGAGACATTTTTGCTTCCATTTTTGGGTAGCTTAAGGCAGCTGATGTCAAGGTCATATTTATTTCTGAGAAGTTACGTAACACGAAGTCAAGTTTTAATCCTTTACAAAGTCGATGTAAACCGCAGTCTATTATAGGCAATTTGAGATTAACTGTGTATTTTGGTCACTTGTTTAGGAGCTTGGATTACAATCAAATCTCTGGAACCTTGGATTTGCCACCGCTGCAGAACTTTTCGAGGTTGCAGGCAATGTCGCTTTTAAATAACAGCATTACGAATGTTGGATTTCCGGCTTCGAGTATGCTATCTGCTGCTGACCTTTCTGTGTCGAACCTTCTTTTGTAAGTATCTTCATTTTTGCACCATTGTTAATACAGTTTCATTTTATACTCAATTGCTGTTTTTTGCTCATATTTTTTGCTTCAAAATACTGGTGCATGTATCAGTTCAACCATCAACTCTAAGGATACAATCTATCTGAAAATGTTCAGTAGTTTCAATGTCCTCAATTCTAGTGACTGACTGCTGCCTTGTTGGACACCCTGTTTTCAGCCTCAGCGGAAATCCATACTGCAGCAATCCTCAAACGGACCTTCTCCTGCAAATCTGTCGCTCAAATTCTAGCCAGAGATTGATAAGATGTCAGTTGTCTCTCACTTCATCCTTTGAACTCCTTAGGCAGAGCATTAATGATTAGTTACTTGATAGTCACGAGAATCACGAATCATGGTGTGCAGAGTCATGGCTCATGTCTTGAAAAACGAACGCATATATTTCCATATAAACGTGGTTCTTACGAATGATTTAAGCTGATTGTGAAACTTCAATTTTTTCTAAATCATAACCAGAACAATTTCAAACTGTCTTAACTAGTTTAGAAGTCTTGGTAACATTGAACTTGCAGTAATTTTTATATTTATTACTAACCAACTCTTCTTTCATGCTTCAGCGATTGTTACTGTGGTTCATAGTACCAGTAACATCAATAGGTTGCTTGTAATTCTTGTTATTATTGCTGCATTCTTTGGGATGCTGGTGGCAATCATCTCCATGATTGAAGTTCGGAGATTGTTGAAGAAAATCCAATCCCTTCGGGAAAATCAACAAGGTATGTCGTTTTAGTTTTGGTTTTTATTTTTAACCTTTTATTGTTGTTTATATATATAGAGATAGATAGATAGATATATGTTTCTTAAACAAGTTTTATGGTTGATATTTATGTTTGAAACCCAATAAAATCAGTACTGAATATGATTAAACCTCGAGTACCTAGTGGGAGGTGATTGAGATACAGTGTTGACAGCTACATTTCTGTCTTTGCCTTGTGCTTTGATTTAAAATAGAATTCGACTAAGTTTTGTGACGTCAACTGAATGTATACGTGTGCTCTTGAATTCAGATACTGATAAAGTTGACGTTCAAGTCCAACCAATCCTTTACTCGTATACTGAGCTGAAGGCAGCTACTGAAGACTTTTCCGACTGGAGTAGGTTGGGGCAAGGCGGTTTTGGGGTTGTGTTCAAGGTAGGGGTCAATACACCTGTGACAAGCACCAGCCTTGTATGTAGTTGTTATTGGAACACTGTTTAAAGAAATTCACCAACAATGGCAATCTACCAACAGCGGATAACGTTGTGAATGAAATTCCTCCGTGGGTGGATGTGAGTTATGATTAGCTGGAACATATAAAAAGATTGCATGAGGTATTGAATACTCTGCAGAAATATGTATTCGTAGGACTCGTTTGTTTAGAACTCTTTTAGCTAAAATGAAGTTATCATGCAGGGTGTTTTGAGTGATGGCACAGCACTGGCGGTCAAGCAGTTGACAAATTCAGAGCTAACGCTTGAAGCGTTTTTGAATGAAGTTGTAACCATCAGTAGTGTGAAGCATCGGAATTTAATCAGTCTCAAAGGTTGTTGCGTTCAAGGTGACCAACGAGTCCTCGTGTACGAGTACGTGGAGAATAACAATCTTGCAGAAGCTTTATGGGGTATGTCCACCTTTTTTTTTTGAATTTTTTCTAATTTAGGATCATTCTTGCGTGTACATGCTTCTGTAGATTTAAACTTTTAGGCAAGTATAGATCACGCTAAATTTTTTGCTTATCTGTTTGCTTGTTGACCTTTTAATCTGTCACAACGTCTAGTAGCCCAACGTAATTACATATTTAAACCATGAGAAGACTTGTGTTTGATTGTCTCTTAACTCAGCTTTGAACTGTCATCAGATGCCCCTTCGAAAGGCGGCCGTGAACTCGATTGGTCAACTCGATTCAACATCATATTAGGGGTTGCTCGCGGGCTTACACATTTGCATCATGTTGCAAGTCCACCAATTATACATAGAGACATTAAAGCTTCTAATATTCTTCTTGACACAAAGTTTGAGCCCAAGATTGGAGACGTCGGTTTAGCTCTGCTTTTTCCCACACTCGATAACGATCGAAGTCACCTTAGTGGTAACCTTTCCGGAACCAAGTAAGTTCGATCAAGCAAACTTTAAAATAAAAGTTGAATATCACTTGAATGTCATCGTCATAAAAGATTTCTTGTAATCTCGAAACGTAAGATTTAACTCAGTTACCTATGTTCTGATGTTATTTTTATGGGGTCCAGGGGTTACTTAGCGCCAGAGTATGTAGCTTATGGCCATGTATCAGAAAAATCTGATGTGTTCAGCTTTGGAATCTTGGTACTTGAAATCATCAGTGGTAGAAAAAATATCAACTTGAGACTTCCAGCAGAACAACGATACATCCTAGAATGGGTCAGTTGCTTTATTCTCCCTTACTCGTCTTCGTATCCAATATCCAAGATAAAGTAATTAAACATGAAATTATGTAATGTGCGATGTTAACAGTTTTATAAAAGCATTTGAGAATTGTTTTTTGTAACATCTTTTACTGAAGTTTCAATTGTGGTTACTGTGCAGGCATGGAAAATGTATGAAGCTGACAAGTTGTTAGACTTCATCGATCCGAAACTGGTCGACAGGTCGAGAGACGAGGAAATTAAGCAAGTCATGAAATTGGGATTAGCTTGTGTTTTATATGCACCTGAAAGACGGCCGACGTTTTCGGATATAGTGTCTATGATGGTAGGTCGTTCGCCATATTTAGGTACTATATGTAGAGATGAGGAGTTTTCGAAGGAGGAAGTTGACACCATGTTCGCAACGGTGCAAGATAGTGCTCTCACCCGAGTGGATGAAGATATTCCTTTGCTTGTTGGCTTACCTACGGCAAGCGCAAGTGGAGCCTTCATTGAGCTTGGGAAATTAAAACCCAGATAACGTAAAGATGGGTCATTACGGATACCAACGGTAGAAGAGGTCATCCAAACACTGCGCTGTAAAGCAGAGTCTGGCTTGTCAGTCTCTCGGCAGAAAATGTGATGGTAACAAGTGCTTGAACTTTTACTTTCGACATGACTACATTTTCCAATCACATTTAAAGTTACTTGTGAGTTTCCGGATCATGTACTAGTGTAATGCTGGATTCTGTGATGCACATGGCGTAGTCAGGAGGACGTTTCTGCACGACTTGCATTGTTTTCTTTTCATAAAATAATGCTTCCAGCTTGAAAAAAATTGAAGAAATAATAAACAACCTCATTACTAACCTCTTAGCCATGTGCTAGGGGATATGACTTAAAAAACTTTATGCTGCGGTAGACCTTGCCTCTAAAGACGATCCAGTGCGGCCTGAATATTTAATCTTGTGTGTGCAAACCCCTTCTGGTTGAACGTTGGAGGACTTAGTATGAAAGTAACCATGGCAACGCTCTTATCGAGTTAGGGCAATTTGCCTACTCATTTGCCAGCAATGACATAGGGTACAATATTTGTTTTATGATTTATTTGATAACATTCGCTAGTCACTGGTCTTGTGACTACGTCATGCCGAACCTTGAAGGTGTGGTTACGAGAGTGCTCATGTGCTGTGGCGTGAATGAGATGAATCAGAAGGTGGATTACGACTCTACATTTGAAACTTTGGATTTATTTTAGGGGATTTTTCTTGTATCAATCACTGTGACGATCCTTTCGTTTGTCTTTACTGCTATGTTTGTTGTTGTATTAATGAGGTCTTCATGTTCGAAGACTTATTCGTAGCACTTGAATTGGTCAGCCTCCATCTCTTATAACTAGAAGCCAGTGATTGTTGGCAGTATTCAATGTCTAGCTTTGTCTTTCCCAATTCTTCAGGAGTATACGAATTAGTGAGTGTGGACAAGATTCAAAAGTAGTTTTTAACCGGTGGTTGTTTTCATATACCTTCACCAGCAATACACACAGTTTCTTGCCATCACTAGCAAGCTCTGACGCCTCCGACTCAACCTTCGGTTTTGACACTAGCATCACTCGTGCTGCCTCGTGTGAATTAGAAACCTCTCTCAGCTCTGTTATCACTTTCCTACCAGCTGCGTGGTGACATCGATACAAAATTGTTCAAACATCAGCTCGCATCTCACAAGTGCATTGTTTCTTATGCAACCGACAGTCGTAGAGAACTATGTGAGCAACGTTTGCATCCGTCCATGGATGTGGCCCGGCCACCAATTAGTACCAATTTTATTCAAGACGTGATCGTGATTGGATTGTTTGCTCTTGGTCGTCCTCAATGTTGAGATCATTAAATATAGCCGGTGCTCTCCATAATATTTATTATAGACTACAATAAATACCATAGTTATAGTATTTAGAGTCTAGTGGAGAAGTACTGTTTATCCTCTTCCCTTTCTCTTCTTGTATACGAGACACAACCAGATCAATAGATTTTTGTGTGAGAAGCTCTCTCTCTTTAGAAACCCTCTTGTGTGAATGACTTACTACTATTCTTGTGTTTGTATATTACTTACTATTACTCTTCTATCTTTCTAAACATTTTCAACATGTTATCAACACGACTCTCTTCTATACACTATCACAATTTTTTTTGCTCTAGTCTTGACTCTTCAAACTGGTTGCTACTCTTGCTCAATATCTGCCTCATGATCTTGCTGCTTTTTTTGCTGATCCCTCGTACATTAGGTGCTTGCTTATAGCACTTGTTCCATTCTCTGCCTTGCTTGCTTAGAATACTTGTTTAGAATACTTGATCCAGCTCAACTCTACCTTAGCTTGCTCCCTGCTACATCCCCCGCCTGTCGCTGAACTGCTATCAAATTTGCCTCTATCGCCGCACTGCTGTCCATCTTGTCGCCGCTACCACCTTGCCTCCCTACCGTTGCCGCCTGCCATTGCTTATTGCCACCGTCCTATTGCTGTTCTGCTACATTAATCCACAACTTTGTTAAAAAATAAAAAATAATAATATTTTATTTTTCAAATTCAAGTTTATTATTTTATTTGACTTTATATTTTAAGGTATGCTTTACTCAACTTTTCTACTTGATTTTGTATTTTCTTTACAGATTTATTTATAATGAGTGCTTCAACATCTTCAACTACTTCTACTATGGTTTCAACTATTATTAGTATATTCCAACATTTTCAAGCTCTTTTATTTCTACCATAGATTGTGGATGGAAATAATTATTTATTATGGGCAAAAATGACAAAAGCAAATTTATTTGCAAAACAACTCTTGGATGCCATTATGTTTGAAGAATCTCCTACAATAAGTATTTCTATTCCTCTTGTTATTCATTGGAAAGCACTTCTTCTCCTTTGTCGTCATCTTGTACTTACATTACAACATCAATACTTGGAAATGGAAGATCCTACAGAACTTTGGAAGAATCTTAAATCCATGTTTGATCATCAAAAGACCATTTTCCTTCCACGCACATGTCATAATTGGACACATTTATGTATCTTGGATTTTTTAAATTTAAATGCTTTTGATAGTAAAATGTATAGTATTGTCTCAGAATTACGATTATGTGGATAAAGCATCTATGAAAAAGAAATAATTGATAAAAGTCTCTTTACATTTCCTCCTATATGTGCTGTGCTTGCACAACAATATAGGAACATGAAATTTCAGGGTCATTTTGATCTCATGTCCTATCTACTTCTTATGGAGAAGCAAAATGAACTATTCTTCCGTAATGTAGAAGCTCGTCCTATTGGAACTACAGTTCTAGAATCTCATGCACTTAATATTTCAAAATCTAAGAAAAAATTATATAAACATGGAAAACATGCTTATAAGTATCAGTGTAGTCATAGTCATGTCCATTTCTACCTATATGAAAAGAATAAACACTCTACTATTAATTATAGTAGAAAACAAAAATCAAAGATGCGTTCTTGCCATAAGTGTGGAATGATTGGACATTTAGCACATGCATGCCATATTTCAAAATATTTTATTAAAATATTCCAAAAAAAATAAGAAATTACGAGCTGAGGCTCATGAAGTTCATACCATGGATGCGTCGATGGATTTAATTGGTATTGATGACTTAGAGGCTTATATGAATGACAAAACCTCTAATGATGAATCAAATGATGCACTCATTGATTCTACAACAACGCATATTATCTTGCAAGATAGACAATTTTTTATTAAAAAAACTTCAACTTGGCAAACTAAAAATATAATGACCATGGCTAGAGCAAATACATTTTATTTCCAAGAGGGCATAGGGATGGTAAAATTACCTCTAGGTTCCATTATAAAATATAAACATACAATATTTGCATCCTCAGCACCTCGGAGTCTGATCAGCTATCGAGATGTGCGTATTAATGGTTATCACCTCTCGATTTTCATTTTAAATAGAAAAGAGGTTTTGGTTCTTATGAAGAACCATAAAGTTGTTAAAAAAACTTTTGCTACAAAAAATGGTTTATACCAAATTATGATTTGGCCTCCTAATATATTTAATTTTGCATCATCTATCACAAAGAGTTGTGTTTTTTTTTGGCATAGACAATTGGGACATCCAGGATGTATATTATTTAGAAAGATCATTCCATGTATAATTAGACACAATTTAAAGCTTGCGAATGTAGATTCTATGGAATTATGTCATGCATGCGTGCAAGGTAAAATGATTACTTGGCCTTCAATTTAGAAACTCCCACAAGAATTACCACCAATGCTTGAAAGATTGCATGGTGATATTTGTGGTCCTATTAATCCATTATCGAGACCATTTCATTATTTTTTGATCCTTCTTGATGCATCAGATAAACAATCACATGTTTCATTATTATCAACTCAAAACATGGTGTTTGCCAATCTTATATCTATGCTTATTCATTTTTGTGCACATTTTCCTGATTATCCTATAAAAATATTGCATATGGATAATGCAAAAGAATTCGCATCAAAGTCTTTTGAAGACTATTGTACTACAACATGAATTGAATTCACATATTGTGTTCCATATGAACATGCTCAAAATAGACTTGCAGAGTCATTTATAAAGCGTATATACCTCATTACCCGGCCACTCCTCCTTCACGTAAATTTACTTGCATCTATGTAGGATCATGCAGTTTTACATGCTGCAGCATTAATACGCCTCTACCTTTCTTCTCTTGAAATTGTATCACCACATGAGCTCATTTCGGGTCATGTTCCAAATATATCTCATTTACGAGTATTTGATTGTTGTGCTTGGATTCTAATACCAGAACCTCAACAGCGTACCATTGGAGTTCATTGATAAGAAGGCATATATGTAGATTTTGATTCACCAAGCATTATTCGTATTATTGATCCATCAACTGGAACATTATTACGTGTATGTTTGTAAAATTATCATTTTGAAAAAAATGTATTTCCATTTCTTTGAAGAAGAGTATCCAATCAACAAAGAAATAAAGTACTCATATTTAAAGCACCAGAAATGTTTACAATGAATTCCGATCCTAGGACATCTTTGATAGAAACTGAAGTTGCTAAGATTTTGCATCTAAAATGGATCACAGATGAAACACCTGATAGCTTCAATGATGCACCTAGAATTATAAGAGTTCCTATTAATGAGGCTCAAAATGCACCTGCTCAGATTGCAATGCCCTAGTACAATTAAACTTATATTTATAGGTATAAGAGCTTTATTGTATACTACAAAAGAAGGATCATCATGTGTCATTTATGCCACATCTATTTTTAATGGTGCAAAGACTTCAAGTGGCATTCCAAGTAAATATTAAAAAATTCAAGATGTATTTGAGAAAAAAAATGTAGATACTCTTCCAAAACATCGTCCCTATAATTTTTCAATGGACCTTCAAGAATGAACACAACCACTATTTGGACCAATCTACAATTTATTAGAAAATGAGTTGACTAAATTCAAGAAGTGTATTGAAGAGAATCTAGTCAACAATTTCATATGCCATTCCAAATCTCCAAGAGGAGCCTCAATTCTATTTGTGAAATAAAAAGATAGATCATTGCGATGTGCATTAATTATCAAGGACTCAACAAGATCACCATCAAGAATAGGTACTTACTATCTTTTATATCTATACTTCTTGATTAGTTGAATCAAGCTAAGATCTATATAAAAAT